CGCCGCCGCCGCCGCTTGTCAGCGTCCCCGTCTCGTTGGACTCTTCCGAATCGTCCAACACGGATGAAGAGGAGGTGGAGCTAGTGGTTTTGACCTCCCCAAAGCGCGAGATCGACGATATAGGTCTGTCGGCCTTGACCTCGGAGTGCGGGCTCGACGATATAGACTTGGTGAACGGACCAAACCCCTGGCTTCCAGCCTACGGCTTCCAGTTACAGCATCATTCCCATTTCCAGCCGCTCATGGAGGATATACGAACTAATGGTTTGTACGTTACTGTTCTCTTTCTATTTTTCTGTTTCTCACACGCATATTTACTTTGTGTGCCAACAATCTGTATCAATTCAATAACCATTTCATCTTGCCTTATTATCCTTGCAAGTAGTTGCAATTAGTTTCCTCGGCAAAAATAGCAGAAACACTCTTCTAAGATAAATCTTGAATGCAAAAGTGACTTGTCTTTCTCTTTCTGTCTATCGTGTGTGAATTTCCGTTCTGAGAGTGGCGGTTAGAACAACAGTCTAAGATACTGTTAGATCGTTCTTCGATGTAAATGTAGGCGTGATTATAATGATCTGAGACATTACGCTGCGCGGTTGAATCTTTAATTTTAGTTCGGAATTGTATAGCTTTGAAGATTTTATAGAATATTTGATTGTAAAAAAATATAAATTGAAGATTTTTGAACATAGTTCCCGAGGATTTTAATTATTAATATTATACTTAAAAAAGATGCTTTATGTGTTACATATATATTTTAATTATTTTAATATTTATTACATGTAGGAAAATAAGTCGTTTCCTGAAATTTTAGAGATCGATCTCTTTTAGAATTATATTGAATTATATTATGCACATAAATCAGATATAGTTGAAGATACTGACATAAAGATTAATTAAAAATTACAGTCAAGAGACGATAAGAACGAGCGAGGCACTTACGGAAGGTCAAGAACAGCTCGGTTTACTCACTCGATATGTTCTAACATCGTTTGTGTTCACATTTAGATAGAAAGCAGCATGGCATTAAGGTTGGCTATTAACGGGCGATCTGTATGCAAGAGCCGCCTCGTTTTCTAGCTGTTGGAAATCGCAGTATAATGATATCAGCCTCGCTGCTGATATTTAGAGCGTAGTAGACGAGGCGGTGGCTTCAGGGAAGTTTCAAAAAGTTGTTAGAAGCAATTTCCCGTCTGATATAATACGCGGTTAAAAACGCGAACCGGTTATTCTCGATTCGATTATTGAGATCTGCGATGGCGAAAAACTGCTCGCGGCGATATTATTACCGATAATGATAATAGAAAATACGACATCCAGACTCTTCTCACGTTTACACATGTTTCCAGAATCCTGCTGTATTCTTGTTTAATCACATTCGTGCAGTCATATAATTTAGAAGAGATTTTTTGTTTCTAACGAGATCAGAACTTGAATTTTATGGCATCGAGTTCAGCATGATCGATTAACAACCAAGTGACTATCGCGTTACACGAAATGAAAAATAGAGAGTAAGAGGCTTGACTAAATGTAATTACGCAAAAAGCTGATCGCTCTGTTTAATTTATTTTCTTTGAAAGACTGATTTGCAAAATATAAAGGCGACACATTTCTTTAATATAAAAATTAAATATATGCGCATGGTTTTTTTCGTTTTTCTTCCTTTTAGAAATTGATGTATCGTAAAATACTTGAAATAAAAATACGCGGCTATAGTTACGGAATGTTTAAATTTTTAATATAAGTTTTTTTCAAATACTTATATTCAAAACTTGAAGAGATAAGCTCGAGAAGAAGAAGAGAGAAAGAGAGAGAGATACCTCTGCGCCATTCTGCACATATATTAAAATGTATAGCTATCGCCTATATACGCGCTAGAAGGTCTCTAGAAAGACGCTAAGATCGAGTGATTATTTTTATATAAGTCGCGCGGTTTATTCTCGTCCGTTAACTCATGGAAACGGCAACAGGCAAACGACTGCAACAGGTGGCTCCGCCATGATATTGCATAGTGGTGCGTGCTTCGATCTGCACTCGTGCAAGACAAATTGCATTTTAGCGGCCTGACGATATATCCGTTCCTGCAATCACTATTAGACCCGGCCTTGTGGTCAAAGATATTTCCAATCACACCGATGGTATTCGATAAACCCTTATTTTATTTCGCACCATCTAATTTTATTAAAAAACATTGATGAAAGAAGTTCCGTATTATTGGTGGCAATGATTAAAGATTAAATCTACAAAAAGAAAAACGTTTTTTCTCGCAAATCGAAAGAAATTCAAATTTTTTTAAATAATTGTACGTTGATACAGTGTAAAGTTAGATTAATAATTTATGTGAACATATTTTCTTTAACGAATGATCGCTATATTTTGCTAGTCCACAAGATCATTAATACATTCTTGAGATGCAAATGTTCAAAGTTTATTCCGATAGTCTTATCGTTGCCTATTCGTGGAAAGTTACTCGCAATTTGTCAGAAAAAATCTCAAGACACAACGTCTATTTCTTTCTCGCGCTGCCTAACGCTCGCTTTCTGATGACTTTCGCTTATTTCTAATTTTAGAAATCAGCAGCAAGAAGAAAAAAAGAGCAAAATTATTTGACTTAATGTTTTTGTTGTCTTTTAATCTTTTAATTGCACAGAGTGCGAAAAAGCGATGCGGCGCGTTGAACAACCGAACATCCCGCGCGTACGCGGCTTGTTACGCAACTATTTCGAATAAGATGAAAGGATAAGATAACACTTGACTTTTCTATGAGAGAGCGCGAACAGAGAGCGAATAGTTGCCCGCGGTTAGAGTGCACCGAATGCATCTTAACGCCGCGCCGTGCAACTATGCAACATCCCGTTCCCAGCAGCGACTAACTGTTCACGCCATCATTCACTGCGCGATGACGAAGAAGGTTTAGGAACGTATGGATACTTTGCAATAGGATATTCTAGTATGGAAAATTTTTTTCGAAAACAGCTACATCGCGAATCGATTCATTACACCGGATATTTAATATTCTTTCAGTGTATATCAAAAATAAAATACATTTTTTTACATTATATTTTGGAATTGATGAAATCAGAAGGATATTATTTTGATATGCGTTAAAATGTAATGTTATACACGTAAGAATTTGAATTCAATTTAATTTGAAAATGTATCTAGGATGCTTGGTGTGCATCACGTATACATAAATGAAATACTCATTTTACTCTCTCATGGAAATTAAAAACTGATAGTATTGTCGTAAAAGCTCGTTCATAAATATTCTAGTTAAGTGTCATAAAATCCGGCTTGAATCAACAACGGAAGATCGTACAAGAGGTGGACGACCGACAGTTATGTTATCTTTTAACGTAATAATAGTTATACTTGTCAATAATGTGAATGAGTCACGATCTTTTCGCTGAGAATTTCACTTGCTCTCTGTGGGCAAACAGCTGTGCTACACTTTCGACGACGAAATGACGAGACACAAGCGACGCGTTTACGCTTTGTTGAACATGAATTCCATAGCACAAACAATGAATTAAGTAATACGCGAAAAACATACGCATAATGTGTGGGAAGGTTGAACTAAAACGCATAAAGTATTTAATTAAATAAAAGCAAATAAAATACTAAAATGGAGAAAAAAAGATAAACTATGTATATGTATATATATATATATATATATATATATATATATATATATACACATATTTAAATAAACAGACAAACAATTTACTTGTATTTACTTTGAATAAAAATTTTTTTGTTGAATCTGCTTGTAATTTTTTTAAATGTTTAGTGTTGCAGCAATGTGTCTTTTTCTGTTTGCAGATACGGTGCTAGCACAACAAGTAGATTTTTTAGAGACAATTCTAGAAGAGACATCCGATGATCTTCAGAGTGACTCAGATCGCAGTGGAACGACATATTGGTTGGGATCTGAGTCGGAAACCGAAAGTGTGATTCATATTAAAACGAAGCAAAAATCTGCAGGTAAGAAAGATTTTTTAAATTGTTACACAGATATATGTATAGCAATTGTAACTGTTATTATTATTTGGGAAGTTATGGAATGCGCATTGACGATTTTACCTTGTTCTTTACTTGGGTCGAAGATTACGAAAGTTCGATATTGTTCACGCGCGATCGTTCTACTTTCTCTTTCCTCTCAACGATCTAATCCTAATCTTCTGACCCATTGGATTTCGTATACCGGGAATATATATATCCCCTCTCCCCTCTTCTCGATCACGTTGAATTCCTGATTATTTGTCAAAATTATCCTTGCTTACACCATCGAGGTCGTAGACGTCGATTAATTAAAGAAAAATATGAAATCAAGTTTTGCTTGTGACATTTCTAAACACTTGCATTGTATATATAAGGACTAAATTAGATATAATTTTATATGCATTTTTATATGTGCATTATAGTAGAAAAAGATACAACTGCTTATATAAAATTACTTTGACAACAAAATCAAGTATAGGATTGTACATGTATATTTATTACACTAAAACTGTCGTTTCAGTACATAAAATTGATGTTAGAAGTTGTTTTAAGTTTGTATTATATATTAAATTAACGTAATTTAATTTATCTAAATTAAGCAAAAGAAATTTGTTAATTATAACTCAAGTACTTACATGATATTCTACTTACTATACTACGTGTGCGCCTTTGAGCATGCATTTATTTTAACACGTAAGCTACTCATTGCTACATATTGCAGTGTTTTAGGGGCGTGTAGTAATACGAGCATGTTGTATAATGAGTATTTTTATAATGAAAATTTAGAATGTTTACGTTTAAAAAGAAGGAAATAGAATTAAAGATAGATTATAAAAAACAATAAAATATTAAATCAATTATATATATATAAATTAAAAATAATAAACATAATAAATATATATATATGTATGTATATAGACGTATACGAACAGAAAATCGCGGATGTTTAAATTTACTTTTTGTTTATTCAAATTAAAACACGATTGTCGAAACGTGATATCTGAATCGACACTACGGTCAACACAAGTCGATCACGTGTCAGTCTAGCATGCGACAGTCACGAACAACCAGCGACCGGTGCGTAGTGTGTAGTGAGCGCTGCTTCCGGTTGAATGAACCTTGACTTCCGGATGAACGGTGGGACGAAAGTAGCGACTATCAGATCGGATCACATCCGTGACTTGATATTGCGAAGTGGATCGTTTACTGTCGGGCCCGTATATCTATCTTAACGAGATTCGCAACATTAAAAGCATCATGCAATCTGGATGTCGACAAAAGTAGGACACGCACGCACGCATGCGCTCACTGATTCGCTTATCTTGCATTGGATTTTTTGAGTCTTTCCTCACGTGATCTTTTGTCGTTGTTTTTATCTTTTTTTCTCGAAAAGACGAACGACTGGACGGCAGCGGCAGCGAATGCAACTCCGTGGTGCCGAAAAAACGGCGCCGTCGCGATCATCACCAGCAAACAACAACCTATGACGAGTACTTGGCGTCACCGGAAGGTTCCACCACTTCCTCCAGGTCAAGCTCGTTGCTGCAATTTGAATCCTTGGAAAGGACATGCGCCACTTTATCGCCGTCCAGCTACAGTTTCGACTCCTTGGAGTACTCTAACCGATCGAACGCTTCTCATCCGGAGAACGATTCACCCGACAGTCTGGAACAGGATTACGGCAGGTTGCTGCCAAATGGTTTCACTACCAGCTTGATGCATCATTCTCCGAGAATCAGGCCCTACCGCAGCTTCGAAAGCCTGAACACGTGCGAGAAAGACGAGCGTTTCGGTCAATCGACCATATTGAACGGTTTCGCGCCTTTGTACTTGAAACGAGACGCTGATTGTCCCTCGAATATCAGGAAAATCTCTCAGTGTCCAAGGTAAGATTTTATATTATATTATAACATTTTTATATATTATCCGGATATTTTAGAGTATAAGAATAAACTTTTAAATTCTGAATAAAAAAATCTCTCTTATATGAGTTACATCTCTGAACTTAAGCAAATATAAAAATGTATTTTAAACAAAAAACTTGCTTTTAAATTGTAGTAATCTATTAATTTATTTCATTTTTATATAATAATAATAGGTTTTCTTTTCGGATTTTTTTAACATTGTGATATATTTTATATCATGAAAAACAAATAGTTTATCGTGTTTACAATGCGATCTGGTTTTTCGAAATATAATGTAGTTAATCTGTGTTCATCTAAGTTACAATTCGTCAGAACTCACAGAAGCTTTTGTTTGTTATTCTTGGCATGCGTGCACGTCGGTTAAAGTTTGTCTATTTTTACACGTTATGTGAATAAAGATACAAGATTATTATAATCATGTATTATTTCCTGAAAATTAGCAGTTTGCGAGGACCAGCGGTAAGTGCATTTCTGAATGTAGCACTCACTCCCGTTAGGAATATTTTATTTATATATTTTTACTAGCACAATTCTTAGCATGTGGAGATTGTTAGTTATCTAATTTTTTTTGTTTTTTACTCTCTTGTTATTAAATATATTGTAAAGTGTTTTTAAGATGCATTAAATATAATATTAGAGATTGATTTAAATTTAATAAGAGAGATATGCAATTTTCCCATTGAGTTAATTATGTAATATGTAATAAAAATTTTTGAAATTAGTTTTATTTCACATTTTCATAGTTAAAAATACACGCGATGTTTTTTGTTTTTTTTCTTTTTTTTTCTTTTTTATTCCTCTGGTACGGAGCAACGAAAAGAAATTAACAATGCGCATGTACTAAGAAGCCGGGTGTCGAGTGCCCCGGTTGAAATTTCTTGGCAACATGCGCCGACTGCCTGCTGTGTGATGATCGTTTTATAACCAAGTTAAATGCAATTGCGACCCTGGGAAAGACTACCTTGACTTTTACTGCTCATATTATAAACGCTAGAAACACAAGCGTATTACCGAATCATAGCCAAATCATCAACGTTTGATTCTCAAATGCGCAGCGTGCATGCCTTAAAAATGTACTGTAATTCTGATAGAGACCACGCGTGAATGTAATATTTTCAAAATAAAACGTCAATATTTACATTTATATATTTATTTTATTAAAACTTGCTTATTTTTTTAAATAAAAAAAAAACTATAAATAAAAAAAAATAAAAATTTGCGCTATGTTTATATCAATATCTCGACCGTGTTCGTCTCTCCACAAAAACAGAGATTTCTGGCACGACGACCGGGATGACGAAGACGACGAAGAGGATGACGATTTTGAACAGTACGAACGAAACGAGACGAACGATTCCCGATTGACGACCGTTTTCGAGGATCAGTTGCTGCTGTACGGTGAATCCGGCAAGTACGCAACATCCTTGGACTATCGGAACACAATCGACCTGCGAGAAATCGGCGTGGAGACGAAGAAGGACACACTAATGGAGCTTAAGTCTGGTCAGAAAACAGCTAGGTTAAATATAGCTGGCGGTAGCGCGGAGCACCATCATCACCGTCATCATCATCATCATCATCATCATCATCATCATCATCCGCATTCGCAGCAGCAACAGCAGCAGCTTTTTTTGTACCAACAGCAGTACGATGATCACGATCACCATCACCGCCGCTGCCAACAGCAGCAGCATCAAGGGTGGAGCCACAAGGAGCGTTTTAATTTTAGATTCACGGACAAGTCACAGAGCGCGCCCAGTTTGCTCGGCGGTGTCGAAGAGTCGGCACGTAGTGACCCGGACTACTATTCGCCGTCTCGTTTTCGCCTCTCGAGGACGACTTCTTACGTGTCGACGTCTTCTCTCTTCGAAAATTACACGCGAGTAGCCAGTGTACCAGTGGATCTGAATCTCTGTGGCGTCGCCGCTACGTGCGACGACGAAATAAACAGTCGTGAAATGGCGGAGGCCGCGCCCGACGAGGAGACAGCGACCCTGAAGAGCTCGCAAGAAGAGATGAATGCGAATGAGAATAACGAAACGCAACCAGGAACTAAGATCGCATTGACCAGCTCGGTCAGAACACAACCAGCTCAGAGCGCACTCGTGGATGGTACCATTGAGGGTCACAAGAAAGAGAATGAAGAACAAACAAAGGTCGAGTGCACGGGCGATTATTGCGAGAAAGAGCTAGCATGCAGCAACAAACAGACGAAGACAACGTCGACAGTGAAGACTCAGGATTACTCTAATTGCGTGTTAGACGTGACGATGATGACGGGAAACGACATCGACGAGGCCATCAAGCAGTTCAAGCGTGAAGTAGAAGAAGCGACCGCGGCTGGTGTGACAAACGCCGCCATTTTGGCATTGGAGACGATCCAACGAACGCCGTCCGGTCGACTAAGAAGAAGAGTAAAGAACAACGCTAGCTACGAGTTGGCACAGCAATTCGAAGTGGACGAAAGAAATTTTCAGAAGAAGCTTAACGATGAAGAGCTCAATATGACCAATTCTCCTGGAAGAAAGCGAGTGTTGAACAACGCCAGCTACGAGTTGGCGCAGCAATGTGACTACGTCAAGGCGTTGCAGAGCTCAAGAGCAGCGTTCCATCGTATGGATGCTTGCGACGAACTCGAAGAAGCTGCTTCTAAACGCTCTTCGGGATTGAATATTGCCGATTCGACGCGCCCAACGGACTATAACATGAGCGAAGATCCGTCGTACCCCAAGCCGAAGGAGCAACAAAATGACTCATTCTTCGGTCAGATAAAAAAAAACTCGGATCCATTTTCGGCCTGTGGCGATGCTAGAGCATTGAGTCCGCAGCTGCTAGACGACGAAGTAGATTATCCCTGCTTGGAAACCAAACCCATAGAAGCGTCCTGTTTGCGTGAAAGGGTCGTCTTACGCGAAAAGGAATCGGAGAAACCGACTTATTCAGAAAATATTCTTGAAAATTCCGCGATTGTGTTCCCACATATTGACGAAGAATCTCACAACAGCCTTGAAGAAGAGTTCGAATACACAAAGAAGAGCTTACGCGTCGAGTTGTCGGTAGAACAAACGATGCAGCTTCCACAGCAGCATTATCCGGAGAACGGGAGCAAAAATCAAAAATATAATAAGGAGAAGTTGAAAAGTACGTCAAAGCAGGACTGCGAACCGCGTTCTTGCAGTCCTAGTTCGAACGAGCATACCGCTGGTGAACGTCTGTGGAGAGTCGTGATCGAGAAGCAAGAGCCAGCACAGAAGGAAGAAGAGGTGGAGAAGAAGAAGGACGAGGTGGCAGAGAAGAGCGAGCGAGAGAAAGAAACACATAATGTTCACGGTGTTGGCTTCGAGTCCCCACCCGGCGATCCGGGTTCACTCGGTGAATGTAGTAGTGGGAAGCCCGCAGTGGCCGCGGCGGCAGTTGATACGAATCATCGCGGTGGTGATCGCGACAAACGTCAGGGCAACGAGCAGCGCGCGCAAAGCATCAGCAAAGAGAACACGTCTATTGCGATTGCAAAACAGTTATCGTTTGTTGCTTCAAAAAAGGAGCCTGTTAAGACTTTCACGGTGTCCTCGACGTCCTTGTCTTCTTCGTCCTCTGTCGCTATGAAGAGCGAAGAGAGGAAAAAAGGCGGTTTGGGCGGTTTTCTGCAAAGGTTTTCCAGACTCAGGTTTAGCGGCAGAATGAAGTTGCCGCGTTCGGAAGCGCAAAAGAAGGTCGTCGAGCCGACGACGAAAACGCAGGAAGAGCAACAGTCGGCCATTGCCAAGAAGAAGGAGCCGGAATACATTATCATACCGCTGCATCCTCCTGAGGAAGAGAGGATACGTCAACATGAGATCGTTACTCTCGAAGAAGCTGCTAGGAAGAACAATGTGGACATTCAGAGAAGCGCATCCAATGTTAGGTAAGTCATTAAAATTGAATTAAATTACCCAAGAATACTCTCTACTTTAAGAAACGTTTCTCGAGTCGCTTTGAAAACTTGGATCGCAAAAAGTACGTTGACACAACTTGTGTATTTCGAATTATTGGAAGCTGTAATATTTTATTGAACTATCAGTGTGCAATTGTATTTTGTGTATATATAACAAGTAAGATTTTGCCAAATAAAATATCGACAACATTTTTAACAGATGTTTTTTGGTTCCGAGTTCGATTTATGACTAACTGCGGTGGACCGCGACGGATCAAGGTCGATTTCGATTTTTGAATCTTTAACAGAGTACAAAGTACCGATTGTGTGTATCTGTTTACTGTATTCCGAGGCGAAGATATCGGAGGAAGAGCAACAAGTTGTCGATATTGTAGCCATCATATAAATATAGAGTACTTAAAATTTCTGAAATATTATCACGAATTTTTCGATCGTTTTATTCGATGATACATGCGTTCGAGGATTATCAGTCGTGCGATAATTTATATTGCGATTCTTTGTAATAGAAATATAGGCGAATGTGTTCCGCGCGCGCGCGCGCGATTCTGTTGTATTCTGAATCACATAGACAGTTTTTAATCAAGTATAAAATCAAACGTTATTGATTAATCGGTTTCTTATTATTTGTAAATTAATTTCTATAAAGTTCTTCGTCAATTTATTGGTTACGACGAGAAAAAAGTTCGTCGGCGCATAAAGATATACAAAATATTCATTTTTATGTTCATATGTCATCAAATAATTCTGCTCGACCACTTTGTGGCTTTTCTACTTCTGTGTTACTTGTACATATTTCGTCCCACGCTGTTCGTTTGCGTTAACAAACCGCTTCATTCACAGTTTTGTTTAATTCCTACTTTCATTTCGTCCCACACCAACACTGTCTGTTTATCGCGATCGCTCGTTTCGTTCCTCCCAACGGAGTTGGCCAGTTCGCGCTTAATTCCGTTCTAATCAGGCCTCGCGTTCGCACTCGACCAATCGATGTAATTTCACTCTCGTACGCGAGAATTCACTTCTCGACCGCATGGATAACACTGCCGCAGCTCCCGCATTTCCCTTGTCTTCTTGTAATCGTCGCACCAACCCGGTTCCGGAACCAGTTCGGTTCTCTTAATTAGATTTTGCTCTCGTCCCGCATCTCGTCCCACGTCATTCTCGCGTAATGCGACCTAATTGCATTTTATAACTCGTTCCCTCCTTCTGTCTCTTCGCACAGCACAACCTTTGCTCCATGCTCCTCGCTTTCCTAGTTTCGTTTCAGCTTATATTTGTTCCAGTTGCGATAGTACGCGACTCCACATAATTTTATACAGAAAAATAGTCTTCTCTTCTGAATTATGAAAAATTACATTATTAATTTTTTTAATCTGTATAAATAATTCAGAGATTATTGACCTGTTGTGAATAATAATTATGATCTCGTTCGAGAGATAAGGATCGCTCACAATTTCTTGCCTTGGTGCAGCCGAGCATATTTTTATTCGGTTTCGCGCATGTTCTCTCCATCATTCAACATCGCTCTTCCGAGAACACCATATCTGATGATTCTCTCTCTTTCTCTCTTCTTCTCTCTATTTCTTTCTTGCGCTCTTAACAAACATTTGCCTTATCGTATTAGATTTCGTCGAAGTGGCGTCTCTCTTTCGTTTCAACTCATATCGCGCCGAAAAATTACATATGTACATTGAGATGAAAGAAGAAATCCGGCTGTTGTTTATTATATGCAAGACAACTTCATTGTTTTTCCGTTAGCGTGTCAAGTAACTTCTCGAATTTATTAGCAAAATTAAAAATTGATATTACTTACATAGATGTACGAATATACAAAAATATTATTTACTAAGTATCAATAAATTTAAGTAATTTTACTGAAAAATTAGTTAGAGAGAGAGAGAGAGAGAGGGGGGGGAGGAGAGTGTATAAGCTGATATATTTTTTTGAGTAAATATATAAATTGTTTTTATTTCTATTATTTTTTATGAAAATTCTTATGTTAACGTCAATTACTTTTTATTAACGATTAACGCTGAAATCTCCAGTTTATAACACTTTGTCAGTTTGCATAACATATGTTCACATTTCAAATTTTATATTCCCGCTTTCTCATAATATTCCACTTCGTGGAAGGATTATTTTATTTACAGCACACACTTGAGAATTTTGGTGGCTGCGTTTCTTCTCGGTTTGTTTGACGAGGCGTTAAACAGAACGCACTCGATATCCCACCCGTCCGTCCGTTCGCTCGCATTTAGGAACGATGAATCATCATTGCAAGCTGCGGGATGTAATTTAGGAAGTCGCCGCCGCCATTTAAGCTTTTGCAAACCTAGTTTGCGAAAAAACTCCTTGACAAAGATGCGATTGAACGCAGTTATGCAAAATAGCACTCGAAGCCAGAGGCGCTGGCGGAAAGCGTCAACTTACATCCAGTAGCTTAAGAATTTAAAACAATGTATATCCAAATTATTGTCTTGCTATGCTACCTAAACTACGTTATTTTAATTATGTAAACTTGTTATTTTATTCTTATAACTGTTCGCACAACGCGCGCAGGTAAAATCCAGAACGAACCGCGAACCCCGAGATTCGTTCGAGCATGCCGTAGTTAAATATACACCTTGCACACGTGGTAGGTGTGGTGCCAGCCAGGGAGTTACCTTATTAATCTTATTCCATTCCGGTTCGAGTCCGGAAGTCGCATTCGCGTGAGAGGCGGGGTCAACACATACAACGTCATGTTGAGAGCTCTAATCGCAAAAGATTTTTGTCTCTCTTCCATTCTTTTTTGCTATCTTTCACCGCGTGAATAAAGAACCAACAGTAATAGTGTTCGCTTCTTATCTGTTTTCCCGCATGCTTTTTTTACATCCATTTTTGCTTTCCCTTTATTTTACCGCCACGTAACAAATGTCTCTATTTAGCCGCATCTTTTAAACGACGGCGCAATTAAACCCACTGCCGCGTCTCACACACATTCCGCTGCAGCTGCGTTCCGTCGTCGTCGAGACGAGTTATTACGTCGTATCGCGAAACTCCATTACGCTGGTACCGGCAATTATTATCATGGAAAAAAGTACCAATGTGCTTTATTTTATGTGCGACGTTTTCAGATGCTCTAATTATTTTCATCTTTTTCTCCCGATATTGAAGAGTTTGATATCTTAACTTCAGTATTACAATAGATAATCTTTGTGATATTCCGTTGAAATCAGAAAGAACGTACTGTGTTCGCGAAATGTAAGCTCATTCAAATCGAATTGAACGCAGAATGATTCTAGTCGATTTATTTTTCTTTCCGAAAAAGCATCGCTGGTTTTACGGGCGTTTTTACTAATTTTAGAAGTCGATGATTCCTCATCGTCGTGGCCCGCATTTATAAACATGATCTCACGCTATGATAATAAAACCAATCCGCGTGTACAACACGTCGTCGAGTCACGTGCGAGTGTCGGGAGAGTGCAGCTTCCGCATCGTAATTCCATTTGCACTATAGTTATTCCTAGCAGTTTTGAGCTCGTCGTAACTCTCTTTTCTACAACAACTTTATAACTGTGATTCTTGATAAATCTTGATAAATCCTCTTTTTTCTCGTGATTATCTTTTTTGAGTAACGTACATACTTTTTAAAGAAAGCGATCTCGCACAGAATAAACCACGATATAAAAGAGGAATTCTCGCGTCAGTTGTACATCCAAGCAATATTGGGTGATCCGAAATTACCTTTAGTTATTGAAGTTATCAAGACGTGCATGAGAGACTTAACAACTGTAAATAACAAATTGATCAAACCATTCTTTTCACTAAGCGCCTCTTTTAGACGAGTTTAATTCACTGATTATTCTATAATCGCGTAATTCGCGGTTTGAAATCATCGGTTGTATAGATTGCGGTTTCTCGTGACACCTTTTATCATAAATTGCAGCTCAATACGTAATGTAACGAGGAGTTCGGAATAGTAGCTTGTCTGTAGTCTCGACTCTTTATCGGAAGCTACGCTCGTGTTGAATATAAAATATTTTTATTAATGACTGTCGTTTTCTCGACAAAAAATATATAGTTGCGCTTTTATTGATATCGTTTGACCACTACTCGGAAAGTTGATAAAGGAACCACTGTGTCTTTTGCGGTCGTGCAACTCCAAATTCATATGGAGTTGCCCGCACGGTCTTGGAGATGATAGAAAACAAAAAAACATATACATATTCGTCTTTCGGCCGCTAAATGTTCATTATCGAAAACCGATCATGTTGTAACAGCGTAAAATACTGTTTGAACGCCAGTTTCCAATTACCGCGCATCACAATGGAACGGCGTCGCCGTGAAGCAAAAACCGTTCGTACACTCGTTCGGTACCGCTGACCTGGCTTATAACGGAAACGGGAAGAAAACAAAACCACAGCGCTATTCATAAGCGCTTCACATAACGTGACTTGCTCTCAACGTATATAGTAGTATAGGATGATAATATGTCAGCGTAATTAGGCAATTAGCTCGTCTTAACGTAGATCTCCGCAACGTTGTACCACTACTGTGTTATAAAACTGCACCAATAAAACCTGTGTGACAAGTCTCTACGTCCGAGTGCGCCTCGCAGGGTCATCTTAAAACTCTGATGCAATCCGTCGATATCCAATTATCTCGCGCACATCGGCGCAACGCGCGGCGCTACGCCAAGCTAGTCCGCATTCGCCAGCAGGTCTCGTTCGCCACCGAGCCGCGGTTTATTATCCCCCAGTTTTCCGCTTTTCCTCAATTCCCGGGAGCGAGATGTCTCGGTCGTGGCGCGGCGAGATTCCCGATCGACAGTGCGTGTCGCAAATATTAAACTATTATTTGCGCGATTCTCCTCTCGAAATTGTAACTTTCCCGAGTATACGCAAAATCGGTCACCCTGAAGAGTTCATTATCTGTTTGTTGTTGCAGCAGCAACGGGAGGGCGCCAGTGTCCAGTAAGCCGCCTTTACCGCCGCAACCGCCGCGCGTCGCTGCTCTGAGCACGACGACGCGAGCGNATCTTGGCAACCCGGCGGCGATCGAGATGGCGAAGGCCCGCGCGATGCAGGCCGCCCAGGAACGTCCGGTCGGCCTGCTCGAGACCGATCTGGACGAAGCGGTGATCAGCACTACGTGCACCGTAATCGGTGCAACGACAACCGCTGCCTCCGCAGTCGCTGCCTCCGCCACCGCCGCCGGCGCCGGCGGCAAAAAGACCCGCAGCCTGCTCGATCTCAACCACACCTCGGCGGCGGCGCCGCGGCCGCGGCCCGAGCACGCCCTCCACGTACCCCAGTCGCCCGTCGGCGCTACGCACAGGAGTCCCCGCGACGACGTCACGTCCGCCGCAACGTCCGCCATCCACCAGCGGCCCCACAAATCCATGGAGTTCCTTCTTGACAAGGAAAATCTGCACTTTGTCAAGGTGAGTAAAAAGAGAGTGAGGAGGCTCTCTTGCAGCCTTATCGTTCACCGTGCTGTTGTCTCACTTCGTTATCGACGCGATGAACGTTGATGATCAAGGTCAGTTGAAGGACCGTGCGCAACATTTTTTTAATGTTCTCTGCTACGTTCAATCCCGGTGACCCGAAAGGGTTGACAGGACTGAAGTGTGTCACAGCGCAACACGTCCTGATCTCATTGCGAGATCGATCGCATGCGAGATGAAGAGATTACCTACGATTTTTAGATCTCGTCGAAAATTTCCCTTTCGTGTTTGAATGAAAAAAAGATAAAAAGATTTTTTCTTTGAAAAAAAGATAGCTCTAGATGTACAGATCTGTGATATATACGCGATACAAAATTAATTAAAAAACTGGAGAAAATTAAAGAAGTAGATTAGGATAAATTCAATATTTAACAAATATTTGCGTTGTGATGAAAACGTTCCGTTCGCCGCGAGAGATTATACAACACTTGTCATATTGATAAATATATGTTATATATGTGATAAATATATGTTAGAAATGTAATAATTTTGCGGAGATGAAACTAATTCCTGAATATTTTTCTCAGCAGAGATGTAAGGAGATACGTGCGTTAATAAGTTTGCGTTATAACAAGTGCCAATTAGAATTTTGCAGTCCGGACGAAAAAATTTAGAGCGCTCCGTGTGCGAAGTAGCATCGCGAGAGAGTTAATTAAGAATGTTTCAACGCAGGCGATCCTCCATTAACTAACACGATTTTGATCGACGTGTTAATTAACCCCGCACCGCATATTCTTCGATCCGATGTGTGTCAGAAATTAGCATTTATTTAATTAGCGCCGTGTATAACATGTCGAATATCCAAGAATCTTGCCTTGTCGATTTTTACGATATAACTTTTGTATCACAAACGAGATGTGATATTATTTATTACTCTGCAAAGTGTATATTGTGTTTATTTATTTGGATAAATATCAACAAAAGTTTTTCCAAAACTTGAAAAAATTCTTTTGCTGTTAGAATCAAATAAGACTTCAGAAATATTTTACTAAAAACAATAATATTTAGATAAATTTTAATGTTTAGATAAGAAAAAAATATAAAATTAATAAGTAAATATATATTTCAAAACATAGAAGTTTGTAATATTTATGTTTGCAATTGTAGTTTCCATTTTTTACATTAGCTTACAAATCAATCGCGCTGTAAAACTCTGCTTTCTGGAAAGTATTATGGAATTCTGGTATCATGGACTTCTATTTCTTAAGTTAGCTAAATTAAATTTGAGAGAATAAATTTTTTTTTAACATTGCATAGTGACAGATCCAGCTGATAGACTTTTGATTCTAATTTCTTAGTCTTTTATCGCCTAGGTATATCGTGGCAAAGATCGATAGAGGCTCCTTTCGCGAGGTGCGACGAATGTCGTAGAATCTCTTCCGCATTGGCGTAATTTTCTGTAGACTCTTCCCAAAGTTCACTTCCCGAGTGATCTCGTCGCGCTGATATACATCACAAAAAATTATCGTGTTCATTATTAAGCAACACTCAATTATCAAATATCTTTTGCTCTTCAAGTACACAGAGTTTATATTTGCTATCAATTTTTACTAAAAGTTTTTTTAATGAAGAAATTTCACTAGAAAACTTCTGTTCAACAATTTTTCAAAAATTAGAATTCAAATATTGTCTAATCATATATTGTTTGAAATATTGAAGAAAAAAAATTTGAATATTCTTGAGACATTTTTATAATAGATAAGTATTAAAGAAAGGTTCAGAAATTTTGTTTAGAAATTTAGATGCACTATAAGAAAAAAATAAAAAAATAAATAAAATGGCAAAACTTGTGTGTATACATAGGTATTTTTATAAAATTATGTAGGTCTTATAAACAATTACATTCAGTTTGCTGAATAAGCTCTCTCTTTCACTATTTGTTTCTCTCTCATATATTTCTTATGATGGGAGCTCTTACACGTCCCTAAAAGATAGAAGCATCGATCCCATTGCACACATCGCATACGTAATATAATTACTGTCGCGGTAACCGCGTCCTGGTCTCGAGCTTAGCTGAGGTATGCAATCCAGATCAATCTATCGATGCGGCTCAGAGAATCGACTTTCTGTTTTGCTGTTAACCGCGTAAATAACAAACTTTGACATTATATTAAATAAAATAATTAACTATTAAACTTTTTTAATATATAGAAAAATGTTTTTTAAACATTTAACAAGATTAATTTATATTTGTCTGCAAAGCATCTTCGCAGATCTTCTGTATGCGCGAGTTATAATATATTTCGTATAATTTATTCAATATTTGAGAAAAATATTTTGTAATATTCTAAAATTATCTAGTTTCTTAAACAAATTATTTTTAATAAACATAACATTTCTAATGTTATTTCGGGCTATAAAATTCATCTTAGACTTTTGGGCGCTACATATGTGATCTAGTCAAGCGTGTAGAGAAGGTAGCTTTAATAAAGGTCGATGGTCATGGGGTTACGCTTCATGGGACAGTCTCCGATCGCACATCGTGAGAGCCGCGTTGATTATTCGTTCCATTTGAGTCTCTTAAACGGAGATACGCGTAATGAAGACCGTTGACCCTGCGCTTTTGCTCACGCCCTTCCTTCTCACGCGTGTACACGTTTCGATCGGCTCAATTAGCTTGTCTATAGTCAAGTTATGTGGTGTTTCTATTACATTATAGTTCTTATAGATTATAACTTCAGCACGTGATTTTCTGTTTTTAGTACTGGAAAGAGATCTCAATTTTACACAATCATAATTCTTGTTAAATACATATAAAGACTTCGAAGGAAAGAAGCTTGAAGGAAAATGTTTCAATTAAAATTCTTTTGAGAAATTTATTCTTTGAATTTTACCGGCAACATCATGTAAAAATCAACGTTTATAACGCATAGAGAAAATTTCTAATACAATGACCTCTTTTGTTGAGCAATCTTCTCTCGCGTGTTTTCTTGAAGAACCGGGAAATTTATATATTCTACACTGCACGCGTGCATGGTTTCCATAATTTCAATTATCATTACTCGAATAAGGAATCTTCGAAATGTTTATGTACAAAACATTCGGTAAATTTTTTTTGTTTTGATCTTCTAAAGTCAAGTTCTTATCTAACCTCTCTGTATTTTGTTTTGCCCGTCTACGCGGTTACCGTATTATTTTTTTACGTTCTTCTCTTTCTCTCTCGCTTCTTCTCTTGGAATGCTTTTACCTCTTGTCTTACTTATTACGTAACGACGAAGAGATAGCTAGCGCCATCGGAGGAAGGAATTCGAAGGGTAGCGAAGAAAAGAGAAGGGATGAAATCTCGCGACAGGTCGATAACCTCTTAGCGCATTCTTTTTAAGAGAGAAAGAGAGAGAGAGAGACCTCCACAGTGTCATCTTTGCAAAGGAGACCACCCTGAAGAAGTTGAAGAAGTGGACCGACACACAGAAGCGCTTTGATCGTCGCCCGTAAATATCTTTGAACGCTCTGAATGATATAGAATAAGATCGACGGAGTCGCCAATTTGACATGTAAAAGACACGCGGAAATAATATTTTGTCAGAAATGTACGTTTACAAACCGAAACGAGGATGCACGCATGCATCGACTATTTGTGAAATCTTCAGTGCGTTACTGCGACTTGATCGATAGTTGTTTAGGGATAAAAATATCATGCGAGCGCATCCTCGCGATCTTTATAGGCTTGACATAGATAAGACCATAAAGTGAAAATTATTTTTAAACCGATACGTGTGCAGCGCAGTTTCATAAAGTTATTATTTAAATTGTCACGTAATATAAAACAAAAAGATAGACATGCACAACAAGTTTCGACTTTATATAAAACAAATCAGAAAAGTATTTTTTCAGTTTTATAATTAAAAACATTAAAAACATTTCAGATCATCTGAAAAATATTCATAGAAAGAGAATGAAAAATGCGGCTGTTTTATTTGGAACTCCAATTAGTCTTGCAAAGTAATAATAATAATAACTTTCACACCATCAATTTCTGGCGACGTGGAAAACATAAGGTGGATCAAGCGGGGATCCCGAACATGGCCATGCGAATTTCTGGGCCGCGCGCTGTGCACAAATATATGTCCGCGGCTTCAACAATGCCTTCTTCTCTTTCCCTTCTGTTTCTGTCTCTTTCTCTCTGTCTGTCTGTCTCTCTCTCTCTCTCCCTCCCTCCCTCTCTCTCTCTCTCTCTCTCCCCTATCTCGTGCTGTTCGGCTTTCTCCTCTCATCTCGCTTCTACTGGCATGACGTATTGATCGACCAACACCACCGACTGCACTGCTCGCCTTCGCGCTTGTGTATATGTATGCATACACATATATATGTGTATAGCACGCGTTTCTTTGTGTACATGTGTTACGCTTCGTCGTCTCGCGATACGCGCGCTTCCACGTACGAGCGCGTATAAACCGATCTCTCTCATTCTGCTTGATGCACTTCGCTTGGCGAATCCCACCTCCACGATGACTAGTATGCGAATCTGTGCCACCACCGTTGACCTTACATTTGTCGAAAGACGCGAAGTCGATTTCATACAGTAACTGGCGTATCTCCCGCGGGAAAGCTATTTAACTCCTTTCAATATATACTTATTGTATATATATATAAATATATAAATATATTGCGAGAAAAATTAAATTATTTCAAACTATTACTATTGTCGAGTTTTTATCGAATACTGTTGAGAAGTTTAGTCTTTGTTAGGCCGCCTTTGTGCCTAACCATTGTGTCTGACCTACTTCGGCACCCTATTTCGGGTAAAAGATCTTGGCATTTAAGAGGAGAAAACAGCAGTTTTGATCTACGTGACAGTTCGAAAGTAGATTGTCTTGTGTGCTGCTGAGCTATGTACGTAAAATTAAATAATTATAAGAATAAACAATTATAAGAATAATTTATAAAAAGGATTAAAAAAACAAATACTTTTCTTTTGTGTTTTCTTATTCTGTGTAAGAATTGTGAATATGTAACGTGATATTAAGCCAACGGAAATACATCGAATATTAAACGTGCCTTTAGTCTCAGTTGAATAATCTAGATATATATTGTCCAAACCAAACCAAGTTAACTTCTTTTCAAGTAAGAGCTTTTTGACAAACAGAAAGAAGAAAACGAAAGTAGTTTTTTTTTACTATCGTTGTTTCGGATAAATCACAGTGCCGATTGCATTAGATTGTTCAGGTGGTGGATGGGAAAAGAAGGAGGCAGTTGCGTGAAACTCGTAAGCAGGCAGGAAAGTCGAAGGCCGAGCGAGAATCCGCGACGTGTGGGCGCACTTCATGCCCACGTGTATCTACGACGGGCTATGCCACGTGCAATGTCGTAAACATCGAGGGACTTGCATGTTTGCGAAAATACTTATAGTTATGTGATATAACTGCGAAAAATCTTATCGTTTATGTTTTTAATCACCTCCATTATAATCACATTTTTTGTAAGGATATTGTGAACACGTGAATTTGTCATGTTACATCAGGAAAATTCTGGAACAATTCTTGCACAATGAATTTTTTACGTTGACTATAAACTTATTACATGTCAAAGAACATCGAAGAAAAGTTTAGTCTTATTTTTTCGAACAGTCATTGTAAAGCCTTAGACACGATTCACGTCAATGAACGCAAGAACCTTCGGCTAGAAAGTTGCAAAACAAAGGCTGCACGTGGCGCGCGGATTCTTAGTTATTCCTTTCACGTAATAAAACGTCGACATTGCGTTCCCGCGAAGCACGACTTAAAACGCGAGAAGCCCGGTACTTTCGCACGCACTTATGAGCACGTGTGTGTTGGTGCAGCATTTGCATGCGGCTTGTGCAAGCAGGCATATGAGTACATACGTGCCGCATATGCTGATCGGCATCACAGCTTTATTTTCACCAAAACGGTTTTAAGTAGTATTGTGTCAGGAATAAGAGAACATAAAAATAATTATTGAAATAAAATGTAATAAAACATCAGTGCAGAATATTTGATGATATTGGAAAAATTTCGAAAGAAAATTGCTTGTATTGAACAATAATGAAATAATCGAATGTCCGTTAATTAAATAAATCAAAATAATTGAAACAGTAAAAGAGTAAAAGTTTTTTTAGAATCTTTTATTTATATGCAATAATCTTTTGTTTCAATTGCGAAATGAAAACGAAATGTTCTGTCTTCAATTGAGTCTTTATCAAAAGCTGAACGCTAATAATCATCGTCATGTTTTCCTGCATTAATCAGCAGGTTTTCTTGTACTTCTGCTAGAGTGATAATATTTTTTTATTTTTTCAAAGAAAGTGATTATCTAATTAAACGCGTATCTATATGTAAACATTGATCACGTATCAACATAAAAAGAATCTGAAACATACATTATCATAATTCTCAATAATACGATGTAGCACTTTTATGCGAACACAAAAGACTACTCCCAGTAGCTTTCTCTGTTATCAACTGTTTGTTCAGCACTTAAGTTAGTCATTTTCTTGACACAATTCACTCACACACGCAAAACTCTCAAGCGGCGTTTCTGCGATAAAGCAGCAAGTAATTATTCAGACGCAAGACAATTCCGCACTAGCGATTCACAAAGTTTCGAGCGGCCGAAGAGAAGTTTTGCAACTTTTGTTGTGTGGGTATAGATGCATTATTAAGAATAACCTTCAAAAACAATCATGATCGATTGTGGTTAACAATGAATAGCGGTAAAAGGTTTTTTCTTCCTTGTGCAACTGTAGAGTTGAAGCCTACAACTATGGAGAATTATATTTATATCTGTCTATAAAATAATGCTGTGTATGTATGTTACGTCTTATAAGCACGCAAATTTAACGAACAATTAGCACTTCCTCGTTATTTAATTACGAGTAAGTATAATTTGTTAAAATTCAAATGTAAAGAATTTATAAGGAAGAAACTTGTTTATTCAGAATTATCCTTTGTGATTCGATTAATATTATATCTCTGTGCAATATACATTAATTGCGTATAATTATTGTAGCAGTGTTATTGTTATAATTCTACGCTTTCAGTTGTGCGGATTTTCCGTAGATATAGTACTCGGAAAATTATCTTTTATTTAAAACTTATGTGCAACAAAATGGCTATATTGAAAACAGAACATATCTACGAGATTTAGATGTATGTTTACAATATGAAAATATCGTGTTTTCGAATAACGGCGCGTCTTCCGACACGATATCGGTTGCATTTGAGTGCAGCGAGAACATCGACGCGAGTGACACATGTACTTATAGCGAGAGAAGCGCGAGGTCTTTGGCCGACTAATAGCGGATGCGCTATGCGCTGATGTGTCTTTGACGTGGCTTTCCCCAATTTGCGTCAACTGACGAGGACAACGTGTAGACACAGTCTAAGGGAAGAGACGATATAACTGTAATTAAAATTAGCATCGCTGCATTTTCGCGTATCGCGACACTCAAGACACTCGTTGTTGCGTAATATGCATCCGCTCGTAATACGATATTGAACCTTGGCGCTTGTTTTTTTGTTTTTTTTTTTTAGATCGGGATATAGAATCTTAACTTTTTTTGCGTCCGAACACGTTCTATTTTAATCCGCTTCTATTACACTATATAATCTAACTTAATTTTTTAATTTGTTATATATATATATATATATATATATATATATATATATATATACATATATATATATACTTATATTAAAAAAGCCGAAAAAAATTAAATTTCACTGGAAATACTGTGCAATAATACTTTTCGAAAGTTCCTGTAGTGACTACCACAGTTGATTTTCAAAAATTTAGCGACTCCCACAAAATCGATTCTTCGAACTTCTGTTGGTGCTCTTGCTTTTTCTATTGTATTACGTAAACGCCCCCTCAATTTCCGCTCACAAATCATTCTTATCCTATTTTATTCAACCTTGACCTCCTTGTACTCCTGAAGCCTAATCTATCGTCGTCTGTAAAGGATTGAGAAATCAACTGAAACTCATATGTCTTTTTTCTTTGCCATTAAAAATAATTAGATATCTCTTGCAAAATTAGCGCTATATTGCATTTTAAAATTACAAATGTTTAATGATCATTAAAACGCTTAAATTTATGTGACTATTCCAATTTTCGCTTATATCTAAATTGACGTTAACAAGTTAAAGAAATTTTTAGATTATGCATTCTCTATGCGCAAAGAAAAATTCAACGATCCAGCATTATATATACCGAAAAATATTAGTCTAGGTCGCTACATACACGTGTGCTCTTCCCTCAATGACGAAGAAAACAAAGAACGTAGAAGCTATTCGCTTTCTGACTTGGTCCCGTTAGGTTTTAAATGAAAATCACACGCATACTTATCACGTGCATCCGTTATGTGACCATCGCGTAATTAACATTAATGTCGAGACGTAAAAGAAATACAAAGAGCAGTTGAATATAGCAAACTTAATACAATTGATGTCCTATCAAAAAAAAAAAAAAAAAGAAAACTTTTAATATTAATTTCTTTAAAAAAAAACGGTTAATATTAATTTTTTGTTTCTAAAAAAGTTGACTAACTGAGATTTTCAATCAAGCAAAATGAAATAAAGTGAAAATAATAAAAGAATTATTTTGTTTGTGCGTATAAAGAATATCGTGTGATTATTCTTGAAATATAACCTTAGCTTGAAAATGCTCTGAAAATAGAAACGGGTCGGTGAATAAAACAGAGTGTCGTTCCCTAGATCGGCGTTCGCTCTCGATGTGTCTCGAAGGGCTCGCATCCTCGATTATAGATTGAAAAGCGACCACACACAATACGATGACGACGACTCACGAACTCGTTAATAACACCGTGTGTCAAATTTTGGTCGAGTCTGCGGCGAGAAGCTGCGACGAGGACCTCGTCGCATCGACCTTGGCGCAGGTTTGTCCCTGAAACTTTCGTAAAACAGGATCGATGTCTCGCACGATGCTTCGCACGACAACCACATTCTCTATCTGCCACACGTTACCAGGTGTCTCGTAATAATTGCGCCTGTATCTCACTAAAACTGACAAGTTTCTTTTTCAAATAAGCATTTGAAGTAAACATTATTAATAAACATTAACTGCTAGATTCATGTAATATAAAAATATATAAAAAAATATATAAATATATATAAAGATACGTACATAGAAAACGTAATATTTACATATAAATTATATAAAGTAAATATTTATTATGTACAAAGAAGGTGATTAAACTTGCTAAAGAGTTAATTATTGTTATTTCCTGCATATAATGCGCTAGATTATGTTATTTTTTAAAGATTTTATTATCGTAGCGTTTTAGTTTTGGAACTTACACGACGAAAAATCACGTTAAACGTCACTGTGTTGCGAAAATTCTTTAATTGATTGCACATAACTGGCGAACGCTGAAGAATACGTTTGTTGTTGCAGCCGCCGGAAAATGAGTTGCAAAAAGTAGGCGAGCGCGTGCCGAGCGAGCATGAACTTCGAGTGCAGCGATCGTTGCAGCGGCTCAACGTCCCTGACTGGTACAAGAATTCACCTGCTGCCCGCGACGGCTTCCGATTCAAAAGACACTCGGATGCGTCGCAGCATGGAGGGTGGCGCGCCCTCGGTTCTAAAACCACCTCACTGTCGTCTCTCTCGTCGTCTTCCAATCGGCAGCCGACCACAGGTGAGACAAAGTTATCTTTGTGTGCATCGCTGATTTTCGATTTTGATTATTTATGATTAGTGTTTTAATTGTTCTCGTTTTCTTTTTCTGTTATAGGTGCTCTTCTAAGTCCCAGTCCGACGCCCCCTGTATTTTCGAGATGGAGTACCAGCTTGCTGAACAGCGCCGGGAGTTCGCCCGCTAGTTCGGCCAGGTCGTCTTTCAATCATCGACAACCCTACTTAGGTTGGCGTTCTCAGGAGCGATTAACTAATCCGCGTACACCAGCGGAACGTCTTGCTCAGGGTATTCTTCCTCAGTTGCAGGCCGCAAACAAGGTATGGGAGTGCACGAGATAACAAAATTTGGCGCTCGTGAACGTTCGTCGCTATTTCTCGGTTTAAAATGTCGCGTGGAGATCATTGACGTTCGATCGTTGACGTGACAATTTTTCTTTTGCATCAACATTACTACTTTCCAAATTGATATATTCACCAAGGTGTAATCCTTTGCGAGTTTTTTTACATATTTACGCATCTGTCTATGCATGCCATCGCGCGTTCTGGATTCCAAAAGCGAAAATTCTGGCCCTGAAAATCAATAACGCGACTGCACGCGAATTCATACGACTTTTCGTTTATTTCGCTCACGAAATTACTCTTCGCGTCGTTAGTTTGTCTTCTTTTTGCAATTTATTTTTAATTTCCGCCGAGATGTGCAAGTGTGTGCGTGTATCTTTCTAAAATTCAGAAATTTTGGCAAGAAATTTCTCCGTCATCTCGCATCTTTTTTTTCTAGATATATGTAAACATTTCGCGCATTTTTTAATTTGATTTGTAAGAGAATCGATCGTATCCGCGTATGATTTTTTGGAAATCGAATTGTGTATTCCTGTCTTGCTAGCAACAGCAACAACAACAGCAGCATACAACGAATCAGCAGCTGGAAGTACGAAACTCGATAAAAGAGGTGACCTCGGCCATTGTGCACTATGTGCAGAGCGGCCAGGAGGTCGGCGGTGGCAGCAGACTATCGCCTCGATCTCGGCCTGAAGATTGGGACGACAGGGGCGGAGCGAGATCTACCAGCCCCAGAGGTGAGCACTAAATCACCCCCGTCAAAAAAAAAAAAAAAAAAAAAAAAAAAACAAACAAACAAACAAACAAACAAACATCCTACAACCACCATCACCTTTGCTCTCCGTCACGAAGGTAATTTTGAGTTTTCCTATTTTCTTAATGTCTTCTTTTGTCTTCCTTTGCAAGCTGCCTCTCTTTTTCTCTCTGTCTCTGTTTCTCTCTTTGTCTCTGTATGCATCAGCTGGCTCTTCGCATCGCTGAAGTCAAAACAGGTCGGTTTTTAATATGTTTCTTTGTGTTACCAAATTCCGGATAAAAGAATTTTAAGGGCTCTTTCTACACAGGATAATTTTTTAAGCAACAGTGTTGTTGCTTTTATCAAAAGTAGTTTTACTTCTCAAAATGCTTAATTATTTTCTGAAAAAAGTTGTTTTCCCTTAAAATTTTTTATGTATCCCTCTGCAGCTTCCGACATAAGATATCGCAGCAGAACGGCATCTTATTAAGCTTGTTCGGCGTGTGTTGCAACGATTTTACAAAGAATGTACAACATCACTTCAGTTATATAAACTGATATACGAAATAATATACTAATATATTTAATAATAACGGTGTAATATAATAATAATAATAATAATAATACTGGAATCATAACAATCTTTTCTAGCACAATCGTTAATGAAAAATTCATTTTATTTAATTAACGACTAAGAAACGTTCAAATATACAATCAATATTTTTTTACTTATTAATAAGAATGTTTTTTTTATCGTTATAAAATATTGTTTTATATTATACACATTACAACTTAGAAAAATCGAGTTTACGCTATGTTTCGATGTCTGTTGCCGCACTACGACATCTGCCATTTGGCAGGATCGTGACCTTTTCTTCTTAGACAATTTCAACGTTGTGCTGTGATTCAAAAACGTATCGCCGAGACAAGTTGCTGCTATTTCGATAGAGTTTCATGGTCGCGCTGCTACCAAAATAGATTACCCTGAAATTCAAATCTCTTTCTCCATCTACTTCTCTCGTCTCTTCGATGCCAATAAAACTCGCGAATAAAATATAATAATCGTTATAAATAACTGCTGAAACGACAAAACAGTGAAGATTAAAGATAAAACTTTCAAAATTTTGGATCTTTAAGTCGAAGTTGCAAAATCTTGTCGTTGCAATTTCAACTTAACTCTTTTAATTCGTTTGATAAAAATTTGACAAATTGATGCGATGCTATTGTGATGCGTATTTCAACTAAGCTTACAGCACTAACATTGACACTAACACATTTATACTAACAACTGACAGATTAAACTGTACTTGCTTATTTTTAAGTATTTTTCGTGTTATTTCTTGGGACTAATAGTATTGGTACTAAAAGTTTTATATTAGCTGTAACTAATGCTACTTTCACAAGATAGATGGTAGATATTACGCGTAGATGTTATTTGTAAAAACATGTAAAATTGAAGTGTATATACTTTGATGTGTGTATTAGGATCCTACGAAATTTTGCGTACGTAGTTGCCGTGCGACATATTTTCTACTTGTTTATGTTAGTATAAGATTTAGTTTTCTTATTTGTTATTTCGCATATATTATCGCCGCATATTTCAAATGATTACATATTCAATAAGAATTATGACCGCATCGTTGGATCCTAATTGCCGAGAGAGAATCTTAAGATAAATCTCTGCGATATTATATAATGTGTACATGTACAACAGAATTTTTTTCACGCTTCAAGCGCTCAAGGACGTAGTATACATATTTGCTTACTTTTTATCCTTAATGACAATAAGACATTAAATCACAATTAATATATTCTCTTATTATATGTACAATTGCCGAAATGAAGTAAATAATCTAAACCGTTATCGAAACTATTTTTGACGAAAAAAAATAGTATTTGAACTTTTGAATTTTTTTATATGAATCTTATATACATCTACTTGTAGAATTGAATATAAACTTATCACTCTGTGTGCCGGCTTGTCAAAAATATTATGTATACACACACAGAAAAATTTTATTTTATATATATTGCATATATTACATACACTTCAAAAAAATTTCGGAAAGTTTTGATATTAAAATTATTTCTTTACGAAAAAAAATAAAGTCAGAGAAATGAAAAACAATGATTAGAGTAGCTGATACTTCAAAGGGTCGCTAATGACCCGGGCCTAATCGCTCTCGCATTTGTGTCGGGCACCTCAAAGGGAGCGTGAGGCTATGCTGGATGGAGAGCTCGTTCGTCGGCACGCGACCCGTGGACTCACCGGAGACGCCATTGAGCTTGACAACCGATCAGGAGGCCGGCGATTGCTGCAATGCGGCTGGTACCGAGTCCTGCAGCTGCCAGGACTCGGTTGCCTCCGGTCTCTACCTGGACCTGACACCCAGTCGGGACGACATACGCCACAAGCATCATCAGACATCTTCGGCCGGTCCATCGCCCACGTCCTCCTTTAATTATCATCATCACAATTATCAGCAGCGTCATCAGCAACAACAACGTCATCACCGCGGTGAGTTGTTACTCGCCTAACGGACGTGCAAAACTTTCGGTTGCACTTGGCTACTTCTGGTAATTTCGTCTGTCGCTAAGCGCACAAAGCTGACGAAGACGATCTTGTAGAGAAAAGTTCTTTTGATTGGATTGGAGATCGATATTCGATGATGGTGCTAGTATATTATGTGTGTGTGTGTGTATAAACACATACATGTACACATGTAATATAAAATAACAAATAAACTTCGATTATGAAGGAATCGTAAGTGTAAAATTAATATTAATCAATTATGTCAATTATTGATATTAATCTTGCTATTAATATTAATAGATTAATATTTATTGATTAATATTTTAATAGTAATATTGTGATAAAAATAATTTTCTGAATCTATCGTAGAATTCTATACTTTTGATTTTTTGTTTTTAAGTTCTTATATATGAGTCATTTTATATAATAGTGCACACACGGCCTTTAAGAGTGGCGTCACATCGGGCTTCCATTTCGTCAATGTAGATGCAGAATCCGGAGGCATTTTTACAATTCTCTCTTCGGTTTGCGAGCTCTTTATCGTCATCACAGTTGGCGATTAGAGCTTACGCCCACATATCGATAATCGTTATCTCCCTTTGCCCTCGTTTTTGTCAGCTTTTGTTGCGCACTCAACGAGCGAATCACAGGTGCGTGAGACTTTCCGAGCTTCCAGGACTCAGTCAAGTAATTTTTGCGAAGCCGACTCGAGCTACTATATGTGTATTATTTTCTTTCGAAAATTTATATCAAAACAGCGATAAGACTGTACTTCTACTTAAGAGCTTTTTTGCACTCGAGAGTGACTCTTGACACTAAAACTATTCGGAAAGTTTTACGAACAATATTCGACAATTCATCGGGAAAATTCATGGTAATTGTGAACGATGTTCGAGAATGAAACTCTTAAGTGGACACTCGTCTCGATTATGCAGCGAGACTCGAGACAACGTAAAACTGTGGGATTTATTTCGGCGATATTTATTATAGCGACAATTTATTCAATAGGATTTAACCAAATTAAACTTGAAGATAAATAACTTTCCTCAAAAAATAAAAAAATAAAAATAAATGAAAAGAACTCAAGGAAAACAAAAATATCCTCGAGTTGCGCTTTCCGCAAACTTCCGCGCACAGCGAAGTTTATGATAAAATTCTCCATTCCAGGCGCATTCTTTTATCTCTCATTCACTTTTCTTGATTTTTTTTTGTCGCTCATGCGAAAAAGCTCACCGCGAAGAATTTTGTAGTACATTTTCTTACTTTGTTTACGATGACACGTATATTGACGGCCCTTCATTCCCCATCCTATAATTTTTGCCGATTAAAAGATAATTGAAAGAGACGCTTCCTTACCGTATGACGCGAGATATTAATTTTAGATTAATTTATAACTACTCCCGAAACACACGCGACCTTCCTTGCTCACCACTGTTAGTGTAGCTATTTACGTTTATGTATGTTTATTGTAAACCTGCCCATTCTTTATGTTAACACCTGTAAAACTTGTACAGGTGCGTACATAATTATATGTGTATTACTTAGATTTAATAATGCGAATCGCGTACGTCGTTTATTATGTGTTGCAATGTATTATATTATTATTATTATTATTATTATTATTATTATTATTATTATTATCATCATCATCATCATCATCATCATCGTCATCATCATCATCGTCATCATTATCATTATCATTATCACTATCATCATTATCCATCATCGTCATCATTATCGTCAATATTGTTATTATTATTATTATTACTTGTATTATTTTTAATTGCATTATTATGATTGTTATTATATTTTAATCATGACTCCAGAGCTCGCAAAATTATTCGCGCGTATTTCTTCTTTCTCTCTTTTTTTCTTTTCTATTGTGCCTTAATCATCCTTTATCTCTCTTTAGAACTGAGTGCGCGAAACAATATAGAGAAAATTCGAATGGTGCAAAAATTATATAAAAAACGATAATTTCACCATGATTTTGCGTGCCCGGTGTTATTACGTGTCTCTCTTTTTCTTTCTCTCTATCTCTCTCTGTTGATCAGTTCGTACACATCAAACGATTATTATTTCTGTGTAGAACGTAATTACTATCTTTTGCAAGAAATAAATTATTGTCATTGTCTTTGATGTTCCCTCCGTAAGATTCCTGTATTATTGCGGTAATTTGTATATTTCTCTTGATTGTGTTATTTTTTTTTCTTTTCACTTTTGTACATGTGTTTCGTTCTTAATTAAATCGGTTGATTTCAGCAAACAAATAAACGAATAACTTTTTACAGCTTCAAATGGTTTCTTGATGTACATGTGAATGTTACATGTATTTTGTACTTTTGCAAGTAGCCGGTTTAATAGTGCGATCACTTTTCGCAAGTATTTGTTTTATCTACTTTAATCTATTCGCTATATTCTACTACGTTATCTGCTTGTGTCATCACGGTAAGTGCTGCAGAATTTTGTTGCTTATGTGACTACGGTGTATATAGCTATCTACAGTTCTATATTATTTTTCTATCTAGACCTCGGTAGATGTAGTTTATGCGCGCGTAAAGCACAATTGATGACAACGAATGTTACTTGTTTGATAATAATTAACAATTCTATACGAAATATAAACTTGTTATTTGGCAAATAATTATAAATGTCGTACTTATTGAGTTGCACGTTTCACTACAAGTAAATCAACAGTAAACAAATACACTGATAATTTATTGTGTGTGTATTTATTGATTTATGTTGATGAAAGTTGCTAAAACTCAATATGAAAAATCAACACTATTACTATTAAGAGAAAATTTATACAATAATACGAATAATAGGTGCAGTGTGAAAGGAAACTGCACTGCTTTATTCTTTCGACGAACTTGAAAAGGATTTTTGTCGTTTTACACTACATACACACAGACACAGGTACACATGCTTTTTATTGCGAGAAGTTATACAATAAAAAAAGGGCAAATGAGAAAATAATCGCTTTATTATTAATTACGGAAGTTAATGAAAAGTGGGGGTGGATTCTGTCCCATTCTTTCTTTTTTCTCTTTCTCTCTCTTTCTCTCTCTCTCTCTCTCTCTCACTTCGTATATACACACATACACACACATAAAAACACGCACGTACTCTTTCGAGGCCAAGAGGATGACGCAAACCTCTCTGTCTCTTCTTTACCCCCGCATGATATCGATGATCAGGATCGGGCCAGAGCGATACGGACGAGGCGATGGCGACGGCAGCTCTTCTACGGAACAAACCGAGCCCGGGCTCCACGACTCTGGAGGACGTACTTGACTCCCTTCTGGGGCTGCCACCCGCGTCGCGTACCCCGAGTCCTGGCCCGGGACCCGTCGTGACCGCCACGTCCGCCATCCGCCATCGCCATATGAACGTCGGCCAGGCGAATGCCGGAAAGAGCTGCAGCGATCTACACCAAGACCTCCAAGGTAGGAGGACTATGTAAGTTTTCGTTCTGATCGGCTGATCCTATCAAGAACGATTAAATTCGTACATTCGAACTTCCTATCCCTGATGAGCGAGACGTGTGCACACAAAATAAAGTGTCGTAAAAAGTCGTACGTTATCGGCAGCAAAATTTTCTTGTTTATAAGATTATTTGTATTATAATCTTGTAAGAACTATTTTTTAACATAATTAATATTTTTTAAAATATACTTAATAATTTTTTCTAAATCTTGTGAGTTTTTTTAAAAAGAAAGTTTGAATCTAATTTTGTGTAGTTTTAAGTAATAAATCCCGCCGTTGATTTCTTATGGGACACCTAGATGCACACGTGACCATACATTCCTATTTTGTGACGCGTAAGTTGACTTGCGTTTCTCTTCGCCTCGTCGCCACTCGCTTTCATCCTTCACCCGCGAAGATTACGCTCATATTCAAAGCAGATTTGCGAAATGGTGTTCAAAATAAATTACATATACCATCATATCATACTTACATTTATTAGCGCCGCGATGAAAAAACAAATTATTATCAAACTATATATATATATAAAAAATTATTAAGAATTGAATTTAAGAATTTTAATTTCAATTAAAAAAACTCACGTGTAAAAATTTACATGTGAATACATATATACATATGTGTATACATATATATATATATATATACTATATATTTCTGCACAACATACTGCAAAACGGCTCTTATGACCTTATTTCATATTTCTTAAAAAATTATTACTTTTGTTTAAAAAATCTCCGATAAATTAAAGAAACAATTACTAGATCCTGCTGATGAAACAAAATTAACCGAATCAACAATACAAGTACTACTTTTTAACTCGAGTCTGGCTGACATTGACTCGACTGCCAATCTATCGATACACGCCACGAGTACAACACCTGATACCAAAGAAGAAGAAGCGATAAACGCGTTGTTCTGCGTCTCGACAGCCCGTCGAACTTACATTCTTTTGCACCTTTGCAGAGGCGAGCCTAAGGGCGTGTAAAGCCCCTCGCGGGGTTGTAGCCACCCCCGAGTCCAAGGACGAGTACGGCCGTGGTCGGCCGTCGCAGCAGCCGCTCGCTTATAATCGCGCGAATAATTAGGACCGCATGATTAATAACACGAGCCGAGATGAAAATCGTAAGGCAACAATCATCACCAAAACTCTCTCGACACTTTTTCTCTTTCTATCTATATTTCTTGTATTGTATTTTTTTTTCTCTTCATGGGTCTGTCCGTCTTTTAACAGTGTGTGCCTTCTGCACTTCCCTGCGATTTGCAGACATACTTTTCTGCAGATATTAATTTTTTTATCGTGCTGATCGCGAATATTTTTTTGTGGGATAGTTAAAGGTCTATTGAATTATAAATCTGTGTCATATTCATCGGGAAGATTGAGAACAAATTATTTGTTTTTATTAAATTTGAATATATTACTTTCATTCACAATACATAAAATGTTAAACATAGTACAAAAAAGTAAGAAGGTGCAACTAAAAAAGACAGACTTTTGTAATACTGTGCACGATCAAGCTTGATGGCACACGAGGTGAGCTGGATACGGATTTTGTCATTGTACGCAAACTCATAGAAGTGTCCACTCGCTCTTATTGCAATTAATGCTTTTTCTAATTATAATCTATATTAAACGACATATAAAATATTCATTCAGAAATATAATAACAAAAAACTCTATTTATATATATGTGTTATAATACACACACACAGACACACACATACATACACGTTCAGAAGAATAATATAGTACAAAAAAGCACTACAAGCTAATTTTTTTTACAAGAACCTTTGACAAAAGTTTTGACGTAAAAATCTCAAATCAAACTTTTTCACTTAAAAAATAAACCATGTTTATCGCGCGTTTTAAATCAAACTTCGTCTGATTTAAAACTCTTAAAACAATCTTTCTTATACACATCTAAATATTCTTAATAATTTAATTTCAATTTTAATATTTAAAATTACAAATTAAGTTTTTTGTAAATGTGGTAAATCCAATACGCAGATTTTATTAATTAGCTTTCTGGTTTTTTAAATATCATTTTTAAATATCTATGTTTTTGTTATTTACTTTACAGTTGTATGTTTTATGTTTTTCTAATCGCTCTTCAAGCGCTAAGTTGTGGAATCACTGCTAAAATATGCGCAAATTTACAACAGGAAAAGTAGATCTTTTAGAAGTAAGAAAGAACATTAAATTATACAAATGTATCATTAAGAAAATGTCACGCCAATCAGTTTCATATCATCATCACGCTCATTAGCTTGCTTTACAATTATCACGTCATTGTGCTTAACGCGTCTCTCGTGCTGAGTCTCAGCAACGATGACAGAAAAAGTGTGAGAACGACATTGCATCCTCCTTTCTCTTTTTCGATATATTATTCACATATATAATAAAATTATCAATCTTACCCCGATATCTTCTTATTCCTATAAAGTACTTATCAACATCTCCTGTGTACTGCAATTATTCGAGTAAATTTCAAATCATATCAAGTCGATAGTTTTTAAAGAAACGGTAATTATATAATTACAAAACCGTTTATAGAAGCAAAGCACGTAATTACTTGTCCACAAGTACCTATATATATCTGACATGATTAAAAAATAAACTGTCGAGCAATCAAGTCACAATCGTTCTCTCCGACTTCTCTCATCGTTCTTCTTTCAAATCCTTCTTGGAAAGTTTATTCTCTTTGCCCTATTGACGAAAACAATCAATCTGACTTGTCGCAGAGTCCGCTAAAAGCGTGATGGATGTTCATCAGGCGGCTACGGAAGATCAGCGTAATTTCTACTCCGGCGAGTTGGCGAGACGGAAGAGCGAGGGCAGCGATACGTTGCCGGCGTCGCGCGCCGCGGTCGCGGCCGCCTCGTCCTCGTCGCTTATGCCGCGCAGTACGTCGCGTCATCGTCGGGTGTCTTTCGACAACGCCCAGGATTCAACGACCAACGGCAGCTCGGCCATGGACAAAGTGGTGCGCTGCCGCAACAACAAATGTGCCAATTCGACGACCCTGGCCGAAGCGAGAAGAACGTACAAAAGCTGTCACAATTGCACCTGTCTGTACTGCTCGCGCGAATGCCGTAGAGCCCATTGGCAACGTCATCGCAGGACCTGTCTTCACTCCCGCGCCGGCAGCCTTTGCCGCCTGGTATTGTCTTCAGCGAAAGAGGATCCGGCCACTCTCAAACACATTTCGGCCCTCGCCAAACGGGGCTATTCCGTTCATGGACGCGGCGCGGTTAAGTGCTTCTTCACGAGTCCCGAGACGGCCGAGCGTTTCGTTAGCAACGGCTTTGCCGATCTCGGCGAACCGACGTACGTACGCTGGCCGGATCTTCTGCCGGGCGAGATGGGCGCCGAACTCTACGCCGAACTGATGCGTCTCTGTAAGACATACAATCCGGAGACACGATTGGTGCTCTATGTAGCGGTGTGCGTGGTCAGCGAGGTACCTACCAGCGGCGCCGTCAGGTGGGAACGCCAACTGGTGTCCAGATGTGCCAAGATCAGACTCGACGGTGTGGCCAAGCAGCATCCTCCCTCGTCCTCGACGTCGCCGCAAGCCAAGCGGCAACAGACACCCGGCTCGCCCTGCAACATCACCAGGGAGATGGACTCGCCGGAGACCCTAGTGTTGACGTCGCTACCCGGAAACAATGGACAGAACACATCGCGAAGAGCTCGAGAGATTAGCTTCACCAATATTCAGCGACAACTAAGGCTCCGAGGTGTTTCCCTGAGGAGGCACTTTCCCCAGGTTTATCGGAAGCTCTGTTCCTACGTAGAAGGCTCGGTAGACAAGTTTGCGCCAGTGACCATTTATCCCAGGGATCAGGCGTCCGGCAAAAGCTTCATGTGCATCATCATGCTAGACGCGGAACCTGAACGTCTTCAATTGTTGCCCACTGACTCGTCCAGAGTAAGAACGGTGGATATCAGCGTGGAACAAGAGTAAAGGTCGTGCCATCCGAAAGAGAAGAAGAAATTTGATAAAAAATTCGAGATTGCACAATATGTCGTCAATGAGTTTCTTCAAACTGAAGACGATTTCATCGCAGATGGAGTGTGAATCCAGATAATGTGAAAAATTTTAAACATGTCTCAGTTGAGTCGGACATTGTTTGTACCATCTAGCAAGATTGCATTTCAAATAGGAAAACAAAAAGAAAACAAACAAACAGAATAGAAATTAAGAAAAGTCTCAGGTGGATCCATTCCAGATGTCGGTTTACAAACTATATAACGTGATTTCTCACACATATATACGAAGACTGTTTCTATCTTTCCTTCTAGAGAAAAAAATAAACGAACGCGTGAAAACCGAAGCGGCGGCGCTCTGCTCGTACCTTATTTTGTGAGACTATTGCAAGATCGTATCAAAGCAACCCACTATCGTTTCACAAAATCCTCGATTTAGTCGTTAATGTGTGAAATGTTTATCAATCGTTCACCGAGATAATTCTTATTGGAAAATCGTCATTCATCGTTTAACCCTTTCACAGTCAAAAACATGCATAATAATTAATAACCTTTAAAAAAGGAGAATTGAAATATTATTAAACAAAGAAATATTATTAAATAAATATTCTTAAATTTAATTTTTTTTTGAAATTATATTTTTGACATGTATCACAATTTAATAAATTAAGAAATTTATTATGCAATGGTTTTAATTAAAAATGGTTTTTATAATGATACATTTTTTTTATGGAAAAAAGAGAGCAAAAGAAAGGGTCAATGATGATTTCGAAATCCTCGGTGAATGGACTGGAAAGTAATATTTAGAGTACGTTGTTGTCTCTTTGTTCAACTTTGCATCGTTTAAATTTTATCGTATATATATATATATGTGATTATATATATCACATATAATATATATTATATATATTATATGTGAAAATGAGAGAGACATTTTCTCAGCAAGTATATTTGCAATTAATCGCTATAAAGTTTCGCTTAGATGTTACATTTATCAAAACTGATTAAAATTTCTAAGATGGATTTGAAAGAAAATATTTTAAAAAATATTTGCAAGTTTCGATTTCAAATATTTTGATTACGGTTTTGTTACAAACATAACTTTATCTTATCTTTTTAGAGAACAATTTTTTATTTATTATTTTTTGTACTAATGCTTTTCGATTAATTTAAAATATTTTCTTACTAGCAAGATTATTCTTCTGTACCTACAAATTTTTGATGTCTAGGAAAAAGAAAAGTGAATATCTCGAAATGCAATACAAAATTTTGCCTCACACAAATATCGTCCATCTTTATAAAATTGTGCCAAATGAGATAAATCGCATTGTTACAGTCACAAAACAAAGACATCTTTAAAATAACGTTGGAAGGAATATTTTTATTTTTGTATGTGTGTGATTTTTCAAATTATATTATCTCGATAAAACGTATGTCAAATAATTTCAGTCACAAATAGAAAAGGTTTCTTTCTAGTAGATGCATATTTAATTTCGGGCTTGAAAACAATACTACAAAGGCTGATTTGTTTTTTATAGAAAAAGAAACAAAAAAAAACAAACGATTGATTATAGTGCCAACGATAACATCACGAAATTTAAGTCATTAATATAATGACTCACATTGTACTTTGCGCGGTGCACAAGGTATAGTACAGAAAAAAAATCTGTAATCCACAAAATTTTGCCACGAACATCATGACATTTAAAAAGCGACGATTAATCTCATCAATGTCTCATTAATTAAAAATTATTAGATGACATTAGATAATTAATGGGAGATATTCGGTAAGAAATGACAAGTGTGCGATTTCTTATGTTTAATTTGTAATGTCGATGTTTATTTTCTTACAAATGATAATGCAATTTTTATTGACGACGAAATGAAGGAAAATTAAATCGAACAAAGTATAGAAAGGATTGCAGTGCCAATAATATAATATCACGAATATTTCTACATTATATACAAAGAAAAATATATCGGTCCTCTCGATTTACAATCGAGAAATCCGGAATTAAATTACTTGGAACGAGATCCTTATTTCATATATCATATAACTACTACGATTTTAATAGATAAGTTTGTTTTTAGATTTTGATTGCTCTCTCGACTTATTTCATAGCATCAAGTCCATTATTATCAACGCTCATTCAACGATCATCATTAATCCATGTATTATCAAGCTTGTGACCAAATGTTGACCCTTTGTTTTACGTTTGTACATAACGCTATTAAGGAAATATCTTTAGATAATGGATTAGAGAGATAAGAGAGCAGTTTTATTAGCGAGAAAAAAGGAGATTAAAGAGATTGATCAAAATTCGAGGAGGTATTTTATCGGCAATGAGTCCGTTATATCCTCGATAGTTCCTTTTTCCTATCACTATATATTACGAAAACGAATATATTATAACGAGTGATCTTGTTATACAGGCTGTATAATAAAGAGTTATACATTCCGACGCTTTACGATACACCTTGTATAAATATATATTTATATATCCATATTATATTCCGCCTCTGTGTAGAGAAGTGTATAACGATTCTCAACGATCGTATCGGTTGGAGAACAAAAAATTCAATTTTGTTATATTAAAAATACAATTGTCCTCTATGGCTATATCTGTTTCTTGTACAGTTTTTAGTACAGATATATTTAACGCAAAAGAATGAAATGTTATTTGTTTTTGAGATTTATATTATCTATCGATATCGACTTGCAAATTCGAAGAAAAAAATATGTCTGGAATAGTTTTACTTCAAAACCATATTCTTAATTAGTTACACATAAAAGTTTTATTTATATACTTAAAATTATGTTAAAGTAATTTTGAAAAACTTCCTGGTGTAAAATACATAAAATTAGGACAGAGATAGAGACCCGGATTTTTGTATCACTCCGACCGATTCGCGAGTAAGCTGTTGCAAGCTCGATTAATTCGTTTTAAATCGAGATAAAAAAATTAAAAAAATAAAAAAAAACTAAGGGAGTGAAGAATTGACGACTCATCGATCAAACGAGCAATCAGTCTGCACATAGTCACTCTAAAGTCTAAAGATACCGTTTTCAGCGTCTATTTATCGGTGCTACCAAAATGTGCTACAATTGTTTTCGCATCTGTGTATATTTCGATTTTTCAAATAAAAATGTTAATTTTATTATATAATATAGACTTGCAATATATGAATTTGTCCCTTTCCGCTAAATCATCAATAACATCACCAAGATAATAATAATAATTCACAAAAAAAAAAAAATTAAAAGATAGAGCTTCAAATCGATTAAGCTTAAAAGTTTACCTCAGAGTTCACATTGAGAGATTATAGTTAATCACTCGAGAAAGAAATTTTTTGAAGAGGAACGAATATCAAACGGAGAATTTACGAAATTTTTGATTTATTTTTTTTTGTGGCTCTGTACAGATTTGCTACAAACTTATTATTATTAATACCATCGTGTTTTGTGTAACAGTGTGGGCAAATGACACTCGCCTTCCCCAAATGGATTCTGTACGAGTTTCAGGGGAAGTAATTCGCGCCCGCGAACTGTCCTCCATCGTCGTAAGATTTTTTCTCTTTTTTTTCTCTTCGAAGACACGTCTACCCTGGTCGAATTCCGATATTTATTTATCGACTACGTATCTTCGAGAGCACTTCGGTTACATAAGCTTTGGAATATGGACAATACGGCTTTACAATAATTTAGTTTATAGGGAAATTACAGAAAGCGCGATCGAAATGAGTGAGAACTATTACACTTATTTCGTTTCGTACAAATTCGCGCGTTATCAAGAAGCTTATGTCCAAAAAGGGGAGAAATCCGTTTCGTCCCTTTCCTTTTTTTTCTTAGAAAAATCTTTAATAAATACTGTATTTGTAAATTGGCGAGAGATAGCTAAGAATCGAATAATTCTTTAAGTCTAGTGTTCTTATGTCTATTTTCGATCTGCACGCTTATGTGATATATGGATGCGCCCAATATATCTCCACGACCAACAATTAATACATAATCTTCCGAGAATCTGTGTGGTGACACATCGTTGAAAGATAGAAAAGTCAAAACAAAAAATTGTTTTTCTCGAAAGAATGATTAGTGCGTCCTGTATAAGACGCACCAATAAGATATTCAAATAGGACACATCTGACTGTGTAATTCATTCGTGAAGCTAAACAAAGTCACTCATATCGATTATATTCGCAAATAAGAAACAAAATGTGATATCCCAACCGTGAAATGCGACTTGACTACTAAAGATAGAAATAAATGTTAATCACATTATAACATACTATACACATGATATACAGGGTGTCCGACAATTAGTGTAAAATATCTCGTAGGCAGATAGAAAGGAGTAAAATTGAGTCGAAAAGTCCTGAACCATGTTTTTCTATTACATATAATAAAGGAGTAATTATTGAATAAATCAACCCAATCAACGCCGACCTTTAGCCGGGCGCACGTCAGTGAACCAGGCGCCTGGTGTGCGTGAGCGCTCCGCGCGGCTCACTGACCTGCACCCGGCTAAAAGTCGGGGTTGATTGGATTGATTTATTCAATAATTACTCCTTTATATTATATGTAATAGAAAAAAATAGTTCAGGACTTTTCGACTCAATTTTACTCCTTCTACCTGCCTACGAGAGATTTTACACTAATTGTCGGACACCCTGTATATGCGTTATAATAAAGCAGAATGATATTACATTATTTATGTGAAAATAAAAAAAATTAAAATTAATCTATTTTTTTCTTCGATTTGAATATAATCGCGATCTTGTTTACACTTTATAACTTCGTTTAGTTTTAAATAAATTGAGCTTGCGAGCTTTTAAATTTTCAGGCAATCCGCTTTTTATCTCGACGAGCCTCGTTATATAATACATAAAAAGCGATTATTACTTTAGCTTATCAATACCCTATGGTTTTTTTTTTTTTAGATTTACGTAAATATACACGTCGTTGCCAACGAATTTCACATCGCATTTGCGCCTTTATATCGTATTTTTTATACACAGAACGAAGCATTAAATATATATAAATCACTGCAACATAGTTTGAATCGCTTGAACGCCATCATGATGAAAAAAAATGTGAAGGGTTTGCCTAGAATAACTCAAAAATACATAAAATTAAAAATAAGTTTGTGTATTTAGAAAAAAACATAAAATAACAAAAATTTTTTACTGCGTTTTCTGATAAAAATATCAAACTATAATTTACTAGAGTTTGTGTGTATGTACGTGTGCGCACGCAAAACAACTTCTATACGTATACACACACACAATACACACACACGAAACTTATACAGTTCTATAATTTATGTAAAAGTAAAATTTTAGTTCATTTTTTGTAAAAGAAAAAAGTAAACCCTCCGAGTTTAATAACAGAATCGCTCGCTCTACTTTCTCATTACTTACAAAAGATTCGCCTACGTACAATAAAATTTACAGATCTTACTCTCAAAGAAACTTTTAAGAGTAGCGAAGAAAAAATCTTTTTCCCCGTCTTGGCCGTAAAATCTTGCGGCAATCTTAAAAAAAATTGATATCTTTTATATATATATATATAAAAGATATCAATATCTTTTATATATATATATATAAAAGATATATCTTTATATATGTATATATATATATGTATATATAAATGTATCGGTTTATCTAGAATTGTCGTCATTGTCGTGCCTTGCTAACATCGATGCAAAATAAATCACAATCGTATTTCCCTTTCACGTTTACTCTTCGATTGGCAACTGTGCTCTTGGTTTCACGAACAATATATTTGTTTTGTCTTTCTCGCATTGTCGAATTGTATACGCTAATAATATATTCGCTAAAAAAAAATATTAAAACTCTCTCGCGCACTTAGTCGCACCTTTTCTATACTTAACGGAGTATTTTGGTTTTTCTGAGAGTACGATTTCCATAAGACGCAGCAAAAGTAATCGCATTATAAATTTCACTCGTCTCAAATATCTTCTTTAATTAAAAAGATAATAATTATCTTTTTTTGTGTCTTACAAAAAATTTTGGAACATTTATCCGTGTACATTTGCTATCGTTATTTCCTGAAATTCCGAATACAAAAATATAAAAAAAAAAGGACATTACATATATAAATAATGTGATTACTTTCGCAGTATCTTGTACATTTCTATATCAACATATGGAAGATATCGCGACTCCGAAACGCGGAGAATATAAATCTCGGAAATATTTTTTCTTTTTCTCTCTTTCTCTTTCTCTTTCTCTCTCTCTCTCTCTCTCTCTCTCTCTACACATACAAAAGAAGTTTTGAGAAAAAGATTTTTAACTTATAGTCTCTCGCTCAAGGGTATTCCTTGCATCTTTTGGTTTAATTCGTCTCGCCTTACCGGTAATATACGTATTAACACGGAGCGTTCGTCTAAGGGATAAATAGAGATGTTTATATATTATTATTACTTGTTACGATTATATCGTCATCACTATTATTATGTGTGTGAGTGAACGATCGTTATGCATCGTCGTGTTAACAATTTTGCTATGGAATGTGCCGAGATGGAAGTCGCTCTACCAGACGAGCTACGACTTCGGCAAGTCGATGTTCACTTTCTGTGCGCATTTTGCTGACACGCTACAACTTGAATGCCATCACCGGTGAAAAATTTATTTTTACTGCGAAGAACTATACGCTAATCACAAATAACAAAATATCGATCCTAAGGAATTCACATTTAAAGTTAATTCAAAACTTTTTTACCACAAATTTTAACGGAATGTGTATAATTTTTGATTGATGGATATTTACAAATTTAGTAATAGAATAATAATTTGTACTAATCTGAAATATTATATAGTATGTTTCTAAACTGTGTAAATAATAAATAATCAATAAAATTATATTTTTTACAACAAACCAAGTCGAAAACTGTTTTTTGGATCTGACATTTCGTAAACATTTATAATTCATAATTATTCGGTTAGCAATATAAAATGTATACATAAAATTTTAATTTGAAATTTTTTAAATGGCGTTCAACTTGTCAGCTTCTTTGTCTACGAGTTTGCTTGCCGATCCAGGATTTATAACCTAGATTAAAAACATTATGAAGTATAGTAGTAACTGTACGAACTTTGCACTGCGTACCTTTGCAAGCTACAAAATTCTCGTTTGCTGCAAACAGTGTTTAAATCGCAATCTGTCGTAGCAAAAGTTATGTTCGCAATTTAACCAGTGTACGTTCTTGAAGTGTTAAAGAGGGAGTGATTAAACTAAGTGGGACTATTGCTTTGTCGACTGATTAGTTGATCAGCCGACTTCAATATTGCGAGTTAATTTAAAGAAAATCTAAGTAGACGACGTCATGATCAGAACATCTATGAAATCGTCGAGAAGCAAAGACTTTGTTTTTAATTTTTTTAAATTCTTTTTTAAAGTAAATATTAGTTTTTGTTTATTAAAAAAATGAGTGTTTTCATAAATATTCGTAACCTAGTGACAAAGTCTATTACAAGCATCTTGATGTCTCTTGAATTTCATATTAATAACAACACAAAAAGAAGAAATATAGAGAAATATCTCTTACTGTTTTTGCTAACTCAACGTGTGAGCAATAATAATAATTTAATAACTTAAAATCCAGAACATTCTTTATCTTGCGACACACATATCTTTCGTAACAAATTATCCTCGTTGAGAAGATAGTATACGATCGTATTTTTGATAATTTAAAATTTGCTTGGCTTCTTGCGTAGGCTTGGAAATTATACGGCCTAATATACAACATGCGAGCGTTTTACAAATTTTCAAAAATGAGATATGTGTCATGTACATGAAATGAACATAAAACAGATCAGCTCACTGTTAGCGCTGTGAAAAACGTTAGAATGGCGTCCAAGCGTTAATACGAATCAGCCATTTTTTTCTAGGTAGCGGCGGTAGATGTCAAAGAGTTGGGTCACGCCAGATTGCTTTCTTGTTCACCCCATCCCTCGCTGTCGCATTCGCTCTCCGATGCTGAGTCGCTATCGCTAAACTCGACAGCGACGCGACGCGCCAAGATAGATGCGACGTCGTTAAGAGCATTCACGCGCTCTACTTCCTTCTGCTCGATTTTCTCCACCTTGCGCAGCTTTATCCCTAGAAGTGGTCGTTCAGATAAAATATTGTCAAATTTTAACATAAACGTTCGATATATTAATTAACATAACTTACCGTCGCGGATCGCTTTGAGCAAGTCATTTCGCGGATCAACCAATGGTATATTTGGGTTGACGGGCTTCCTCAGCTGACCGTCCACAATACTCTTTATGGGCTTCAACTTTGGCGGATTGGTCGCAATCATTTTTGCGATATCGCCATTTGTCAGTGGCAATGGCGCCGTGGGCCCGTTAGCAACTGGCGGAGGAGGTGGCGGTGGTGGAGGCGGTGGTATGTTGCACGGTGGTGAAATGGGTCTTGGAGGAGTGGGATCTGGGGTAGGTGGAGGTGGCGGGAGATCTTGGGGCGCCACCGGATCAGTCTCGTCAGCGCCTGCGTGATTTGGCGGCGTAGGTGTTGATCGCTGACTCGGTAAAGGACTGTCTGATCGACTACCGTTCCTATTCAGTAAATGTGCCGGTATAGAACCTGGAACATTAGCAAAAATTATATCAGATAAGTTATTCTCACTTTTTTCGTTGAAAATAAGTTTTTGGTAAATACTTTAGAAATAATTTAACTTTTATTGTATGTTGTGTAAAACAAAAAGTGCATTTTTTATATGTAGTGCAGAAAAATAGAACTCAAAGCAGAAAAAAAAAACACTAATTTTCTTTAAGTTAACGTACCGTTCATGGAAGGAGGAGACATAGTTTCCCCTGGTGGAGGAGGTGGCGGAGGTAGAGTATCCCTGCCAGTACTCATGGATCTACCTCTGGTAGGTGTATTATTAGCAGAGGCCACCGTGGGCGTAGAATTGCTGGAAGCGTTACTCGGTGGCGCCGGTGGAGGTTGCGACGGCCGCGATCTGCCGCCCCTACTCGGAGTGCTCTGACCACCGGGACTCTGATACGTTTCGCTGTTGGTCGGTACCTGACCCGGAGCGTAATGCGAGCCATACGAGTTTTCATCATAGCCCTGAGTCACGTAATTTGCCCTACGATAAGAAAATTATTACGTATAAAATCATACATAGTGAAACATTTGCAATTAGAAAAATAATAAAGTTTAGAAATATCCAAGATAAAAAATATATAAAAATGATATAAATAAAAAATATAAAGATATAAAAAATTCTATATACAAATGTTATTAATTTATTATGTATACTGATATATATTTTGTTGTGATATTTATACCTGTAATCGGAAGACGGCGGGCTGTACAAATGTTGTTCTTCCGGAGGATAACTTCGTCGCAACTCGATGCTATTGGGTCTTGGCGGTTTTGGTTCCGTCATCACCATTCCCAACAGAGAATCATCGGATTGCACGTTATGCTGCGGCCTGTACTGCACCGATTGCGTCGGCATGATATACTCTCCATGACCTACGGCCAATTGCCGTTGTCGTTCCCTGGTGTTGTGTGGCTGCCTCACACGCTTTTTATGTCTACCGCCACCTCCACCGCCACCCTCATTCCGAGGCCTATGTGGCTATTTTGTAAAGAAAACAGTGATTTAAAATGTGTAATGCAAAAGAGATAACATCAAGACAGCATCGCATAAGTCAAGCACAATCGGTTTAAAGAACATCCCGACTATTGATCCAGTAAGTGAACAAGTATGTCTTTGAAACAGACGCGAAGGATGTTGTCGTGAAAAAGATTTAATTTAAGGATGATATTGAAAACTTGTTTATATAAAATAATTTAAAATTTATACCGGATCAATAATTATGTGTGGGACATGAACACACATATGTGTAGGAAATAAAAAGTGCTCTACGAAAGTGATAATAAAATATATCACTATAAAAGTTCGATGAAAATCTGTTGTAAAAAAAAAAAAACATTCAATTAATCTAATTTGTTTGTGATGACAATTTTATTTCCTACACGACAAATATGAAGTGGAAAGATGAGATATTCCTGCAATGGACGATGAAACAATCGAAATCATAAAAGTATGTCCTGTGTGTCATTCGAAGATGATTCGGTGGATGATACAAATTTAACGCAGTTCTATACAAGTACATTCAAAACTTGCATCAAACTGACAAAGAACGGCATTACACAAGTGATCGATAAAATGATGGCAAGTGTGAGAAACCTTTTTATTCGAGAGTTTCAAAGGATAATTTACGGTGAGAGTAGAAGTTTCTTTTTCGAGTTTAAAAATTCGGGCCCTGCGTAGATAGAATTTTCGCGCTTTTTTTTGGTTTTGATCGTCGAAAAAATTGACAAACTTGGTCGAGGAAGTTCTGTTTGCATTCGATCTACGCAAAGTGGTGTGTTGTCACTGAAAACAAAAACGTGGCTGTTTTGCCGTAACTACAAAACTTGGAGAAAGCGAGCATCTAGCGTCAGTCTCTATATCAGCAAAAAGATCAGTTAATGAAAGTAAAAGATCACAGAGTAATGATTATGCGATGAGTATAGAATGGCTGGTGACATCGAGCTATTTCACTGACTGTGTGAGATACTGTTGGATGTTTGGTAAAGAGGGTAAGAAAGATTAAAAAGAAACTACAAAGATCCAAACCATCGACTTGCCTCTCTGAACGGTTCGGCATATTCAGACTCGCTCTATAACGAAGGGGATAGTAATTCAGTAGTTAGAATCGCAGCATTAGACACGTTAAATAATCATAAAACAATTTAGTTCAGTCTACAAAGCTCGTTTCGCACATTCCGACACAGTTTCGAAGACCAAAGAATTAGACTTAAATAACTTGACATACATCTCAATGTAGAAATTTATAAAAAGTGTAATAATAGAATTATAAATGTTACACATATAACAGTTATCGAAGTGCGCCTTTTGTTTTTTGTTTTTTTTTAAGAAATACTACCGCAAAAGAATGGCCTACCTTCTTTCCTCGATCATGCAGCTTCTTTTCCGTGTCTTTGAGCATCTCCTGACTCCACAAATCGAAGAAATAATTCGGGTCGGTGTAAAACTTTAAACCGTCCTTGCCATCCTCCCTAAAGATCAAGATAGTTGTAATTTTAGATTCAATTAGATTATCGTTCAAGTCAAGCTTAGCTTGAGAGAAAATTAAACGATGTCGTTAATTACCTATAAATATTAAGCTTGTCCAGAGGCGGTGGCGTATCGCATTGATGATACGTTTCCAGCATCGCTGTCGGCATAGTGTCCCTAGAGACAACTTGCTGGTCAAATACTACAGAACTTTTGAAAGCTTTCCTCATATGTATGTCTTGCAGCGAAACTGCAAAGAAAAAAACAAAGAGATCTCAATATCTGAACTGTGTCGTCCGATTCAAAACTTTTGAAATTTATGATATTTTCTTGAAAATCTGCTATTTACTTATTGTTTCAACTACAATTACAATTTATTATAAGGATTATTATAAGAATTTGTTTCGCGCACCTTCTTCGACGTTACTATCCAGCTGAGTGACCTTGACGGCCAAACGATCTATTCTAGCTTGCAGAGAGTTTGCTCGATCGCTCAGTCCGTGAGCCTCTCGCGCCAGCTCGCCGAACAGATCCTCGGCGTGTCTCGACAAACTGGACAGTTGTCGGATAGTGTTGGCCAAAGTGCCGTTGGTGGCTGCCTCGAGCTCAGATGGCAACGGGAAGTCCTCGGGGATGGTGCCGCGTGCTACGTGCACGGGCTCCACCAGTCGCTTCGGAAGCGGCATCTTCGACTTGCCTGTTCGTTTCTCCTTACTCCTCCTAGCGATAACTCACTCACCGCGTTTTCGATACCTAAAAACCACAACAAATTACAAAATTTTCGTCAAAAATTATGAAGTATTAGAAAATTATCAGATGTTTGTTTTACAATTGTAAGTTTTTCTGTTATATATTTCGATACTGCTAAACCTACAAGCGACTTTGTTGTATACGTTGCAATATTTACTCTAAAAGTTTCGAATAAGACTATGGAAAAATATTTTAATCATCTCTCTCTCTTTCTCTCTCTATACAGTTTCAATGAAAACTTCATCGCGAGGTCATCACGATCTAACGAGGTATTTATCGCCCCATACGAGCGCAACGTGAATAGTTACCATAATCCTTAACCTTTGTGGCATCGCTGTATTTATATTTTATTTAAGCTCCCACGCAGCCAAGCAGCCCTTTAGCAGACGGATGCAAGCTAGTGAACGAGGCTGGCGATAAACGTTTCGTTTCACGGCTGTTAAATCGACCACGATAAAACTGCATTGCACAAATATTATATTACGAGATATCATATATATGAGACATCGTGAATCTCGCAAAAGAGATCATCGCGAATTTATAAACTTTTTAGACAAATATCTTTCATGTTCTCTTTATAGGCCGATCCACTATCTTGAAAACTAATCTAATATTTCTGACATATTGCAAGTAAATCCATGCTAAGAGAATACAGCGAGCTTAAAGTTTGTGACTGACCACTGTAATCACGCTGAGCTGTCATATGCAGCGGACTTGTAAAAGATAGATACTATCCTGAGGCAAAAAAGTCATCACTACGCTAAAGTACGATGAGTACTCTCGCAGTAATGTTACTATTGTTATTACATCATATTTATATTCTCGAAGTAGAAACCGGAAAGAGTTATTTTCTTCTCGCAGCGTGCCTATCGCTTGCTTGTTTTACATTTATTTCAAATTACATTCAATTGCATCGAGTGCGACAACACCAATTAAGTATCATTCAAAAGCAAATGACGTGTCCATCGATACGATTTTTTTTTCAACTTTCACTCGAGATAATTCGAAATAATTAAAAATTCATTACATAGCAAAAATACTTGTCAAAATATCAATTGAACAAGATTTTCACTGTATATATTTGTATGTAAAATATTTTTATCTCGCACGTTTTGTTATCATTTTCTGGAATTTATTGTTTTTCTTCAAAACCTATTTTTTTTTTTTTCCAGTATCGATATACACATCAACGTTCAATATTCTTCGAATTCACTTGACAGTGCTAAAACGCGGCTAATGACTTTAACCAAGATGTCACGCTGTTTCCACTGATTATTCAAAGACTGCATCCTGACGCACATGTGCATAAGCTGAAAGAAAGAGAATGCACATGTCAACCATATGGTCACGCGTAAAATAAATCTGTGTGCGCAAGAAAAAACAAGATCATCATCCTCTTCCAGATGCAAAAATCGATGCAATTTCAAGACTTAGGTGAGTTTTATCATATATTTCTTTTACGCTATTCATATGTGCACAAAATTAAATTTACGGAAAATAGTTTTTGTCGTTAAAAAGTATATAAATTGCTGAAAAATTAATATGATTAATCGAGCGTTACGTAAAAGCGCGTGAACTTAGTTTTATTAGTTTTTATCTTTATCTTATTCGCGTACTTATATTTCTCACGTCACTATATCATCCTGCATGGCATGTGTAGATATTTGCCGGAAACTCTTAGAACATTCCAACGCCGTTCAGGTTTCTCTCAAAAGAAAAGCGCATATCGACGGAGACAATATCGTGCGATCGAACGGTATAATCCAACTAAGCATCAGCGCCGACAATAAAGAGTTTATGTTAATGCCGTGACGTGCAGCGACTTCGCAACCGCGGACACGTGCATCTAGGATTCCATCTTTTCCTGCGAAATGTCACTTCGCGCCTCCCGAGAATGTATTGAGAATATATATTGAAGTCGCGATCTCTCAATAAAATCCAATCGCTCGTATAAAATCACGATGTGTTCGTAACTCTTTGTTGCATTACACGATAGCGCATACCGATATTTATCACTTTTTAATTATCTATTTTATAAAAAATTAACAGATCAATAGATTAACAGACGTAAGTGTAAAACTTTACTTTAAAAATTAATAATTTATCGCACGTGTTGGCAAATTATACTGTACAACAAATTTGACATTTTTGTTCGCTCGCTTTTTTTTGTTTTTTAGAAAAAAAGTAATTTTTATCAGAATTTAAAAATAAAATAATATGGCCGCTTTCAGTACTACTTTATTTTAATATTATCTTTAATTCCTATGACATGATTGCGAAATTCTAAAATCGCATACTGCGCATCAAAGTCAATAAAGATCACTTTTTTTCACTGAGAGCAAAAATATGTTATATAGTGTTTACTAGCCATGCAAGATTAATAAACGCGGCTAAAGCACGAGAAATTAGTCAGAAGAAGCAACTAAAGAAAAAGATAGTGTGAGAAAAAAAAAGAGAGAAAGAGAAAGAGAGACAGAGAGAGCTAGCAACGCTTGTATTTGGGTCACTGATAAGGGAAGGATGTGAATCGTTGGGGTCACTAACGACAGGTTGAATAAATTATATCGAGGTTTATCTGTTACGGAAGCAAACGTGTGTGCTAAAAAGCTGTGACGCTGCTTCTCACAGATTGCCTGGCTTAGATATTTATATCTTACGTTCTGTATGTGTACACACCTCTATCATCGTCTTGAATTTTGTATACACTGCACGAAGTTTTGATCAAGATAACGCGGGCCACGAAAATTATCTCCTATCTTGCATTGTGCGATGTTACGATAAAACGATTCCGAATAGTTGCACATTAGCTGCATCGATTGTGAGTATAATTTTTGTTTTCGAATTCTAATTTTACCGAACTTGTTGGAAATTAACGGAAACAATCATTGTGTTCATTATTTATAATGGCCAAACGCAAAAGTATAACAAGCTTTTACTCTTTCCGTAGAATCGAAAAGAGTATTGTCGTTAACAATTAGCGATCAGCTCTCGCATCGCAAACCTCGACCTAGCACGTCTCAAATTTCACGCGCTCTCGACATCGAGTCCAATTCGTTCGTCGAGTGAAAGCAAGCGATTTATACAAAGATGTCATGAAATGCTAAAAAAAACTATTTCAAGTTTTACACAGTTCAAGAAAGTTGTTTTTTGAATATTTTATCGAAGCTCTTGAAATTTTCTATGCACATCCTCTTTTTGCATGAGATGCGATACATCGATTACGAAGTTGCTCGCTGCTGTCGGTATTGAAACAACAACGCCGCGCGTTCATCGAATAAAGATCACCCTGAAGATATTTTCGTCAACCCTCGCTAACCCGAGTTAAATCAGTAGGAACGTGCAGTAACAACGCGCGCCGGTATGTACATATACGCGGTTTCTTCAACATCATCAACCCCTCGATAATAAAAGAGATGACGTCATAATATCTCACCACGTTCTAGCTCCCACGAATATAATTCTCTGTTTCAAAGTCGTGTATGACAAAAGTGTACACATACACACACAAATATCTCTAAAAATGTAAAAATTATACACATCTATATATATATAGAATTGATAAGCTATGTATATAAATTTTTTATATAAAATTGATAAAGTTACAAATATAAGAAATCACGAGTTTTTTTTTCAAACAAAACAGCAATTTAAAAGATGAAAGTGTTTCTTGGTCGTGATTTACTTATTCAGAAAAGCTTTCGAGAAAGGAAGGACTGCCGGTAGATGGAGGATAGACAAAAAGCTCCGACTCTGTTGGAGACACTGTAGCGCGAAGTATCGAGTAACATTCGTTATGGTGAGTGAGGAGACGTCGACCTCGGATGTATCCCGGTCCGGCTTGTCGAGTACATGTACATACCGGCGTGCGAATGTTATATGCACGTTTTCCAGCATAAACAGATTTATTCTCCTTGCGTGAGTGTAGAAGCAGGCTTTTGTGAATTAGAACAATCAATTTGAATAACACGGAGACTATGACTTTTAAACGCAAGTGCGATAATTGTCGAGAACATCTCTCTCTTTACCGAATTCGGAAATGTTCTCGTGCGGCGAACATCTGTCAAAAGACTCGGAAGACGCTGCGTACCAACATAAAGAGGGCCCATAATGACTCGAGCTGGATGTTTGGGGTCGGTGCACTATCGTGCTGGTACGAAATTAACCTATGATACACAACACTCTTAATAGCAAATTTCCAGATTCTCTCAGGTTTAAATTTTGCGCGTCACACTTTCCGCGTGACACGAAAGTTTTTCGAAAACATTGAAAAGCCACGAATCTTGCGAAGAAAATCTTAAAATATTGATCATTTCTTCAAATTTTGCAAATATTTCTTAGGCATAAGTATACTGGGTATAATTGATTGCGATCAATACATTACTGGAAAGTATGTACTCACGCGCATATCAAAATCATCTTTCGTGGGATGCACGCCGATAACGATAAGAACTGCAGAATGACGTGGCATCAGTAAACGCCCACTTGTCAGGGGCGAAGAGAACGTTTCCAACTATCGAAAATCTTTTTTCAAACGTGCTGTAATCCTTCAATTATCTCTTCCGCAATTTAAGTATTAGCGCAATTAGTATTATAGAAAATTAAATTTTTATGTCAGTTTTAGACTTTTAACGGCACTTTTTCAACATTCATAAATTTTTTTTACATCAAAATACTTTTCACTAACAATAAATTTTTGTCTTATTATTGAGTCATTATCTCCCAAAGTAATTATTTATACATTACAAACTTATATGTACAAATAATTATTGAATTTGCGCTAGCTTTTCCTATTTCTCTTCATATAATGTAATCGAGAAAAATGTAAATTTTGTTGTGTATTGCGTAGTATTAATAGTTGTAAGTTTGCTAGTAGATAATAATCTCAAGTCACTATGCTACGTTTACTTTACGATTAAATATTTACTCTTTGAGATATTGCGTCGCATTTGTAATACCGCAAATTTTGCGGGTTCCATTTCGCGAACGCACTTCTCTTTTATCGTTTACGCGAGGATGAAGCAAAACATGTGTAGTCTTTTGTATAAGGAGGATATTTCATTATTCCGACCTCGAGGATGAGTGCAATCTATAAACATTGGGCAACCTAACGTCGTGAAAATTAAGACTCCACACGCGAGTTTTGTTTTTTCAAATCTGACTTCACTATCCGGATATCAGGTAATTTGTGACGCTTCGAATTAGAATTATTTAATTAAAAAACAGAATCATTCCGTTCGGAAATAATTTCGCTATTATAATTTGCAATAACAAAAAAGACCAACAAATAATTTGTCATACTTTATTTCAAAATATTTCTACAGAATAAAATACGTCTATTATAGAGCCAGTATCAATAACTATAACAGAGTCAACAAATGTGGAATCTTAGCCTAGTTTCCACGAGTACAGTATGTCATGAAGCTTAATTGAATAGGTCTTCGTGTAACCATGGATTAAACCGCAACCCTACAAGAGATTTGCAGAATCATACTTCTGTAACCGAACATTTTTCCAAAAAAACTAAAATCGAACTTTGGCTTCTTGTATTTATGTTTGTACGTCTGTGTCTGTATTTTTGTGTTTTTTATGAAAAGATAAATTTGAAGTTTATTTTAAAAAGTTTGACAAATGGTGCAATAAATAAATAATAAATGGATACAAAAGATCAAATTGCTTATTATACATTTTGCTCAATTTGGTCTGAGTAAAGCTTGCACACATGTTACGAGAAGTGAATTACACAAGAACAAATCGCTTATTACTCCGAGCTTGCAAAATAAGCGCGCGCGAATGTAAACGGCTCGTTGTATGTACAATATGAGTCTTCATCAACCACTCGCGGTTTTAAAGCCAGATTAAAATGGTTGATATTATCTGAGTAATTTCTATAAATGAATCCGACTGACAACAGCTGGCGACAGCTTGTCAAATTGAGTCACTGAATTACACATTGAATGAAGTCCGAAGAGTCTGTTCTTCGCCATTCATACACATGGTACACTGTTAGTTACTTAAAACCAAAATGCGCTAATCAGAGCTAATGAATCACATTGAGTCGAACGGACAAAAACAAAAAAAATTATTTCTTTTATACCATAAAAGTTGAACTATCGATTTTGTGCATCGCGCGTGTTTTTTTTTTTTTTTCATCACGTCGCAAGAATTCACCAAGCGTCTTGAACTACTACAGAAAGACAAAACAAGCTTTATTGGAAAAAAAGACATTGAATCTCACAATCAGATAAAAAAATTCACTTAAAAAGTAATACCCAAAGTTTACTTATCTCCGTTTTTTTCTATTAAAATATGAGAAAAGCCAATTTTATTCAACGAAATAGTCCATGACAGTTCTAATCATTCATATATTCACGTCGCGCAAACTGCGTTCAGCGTCTCGTGCGTGACAGGATTGCGCATATAACTGGCTGTCGTTGATGTGCAGTTACGTAAATTCACTGACAAGTTTCTTCGCAGAGATTTCGCGAAACGGAACGGCGCGATGCGTGTCTTAACGTTGTTGACAACACGCGGTCGACCTCGTTCAAGGTAACACGGCCAACAGAGGTCGAAGAGAATGATAATGTTATTGTAGATTGTCTCTGGTACGCGAAGGGATACGTTCTGAGTAATGCGTCGCTGCTTTCTCGCAATAATAAACGATTGTTGCGCATTTATTTAAGATAAAAAATATCGAATAATATTACTCGCAATCATAATCGATAATGGTGCGTAAATCAAATTAGGAAACGTATTACTTTCCAAAAAAATTTTAAACAAATAAGAATGAATCGTATGGCAACTTAACACTCTTTGCACTTCTGAGAATGAGTTAAAAATTTGTTTTTCGACAACACAAGCCTAGATGTTTAATTCTGGAGCTCAGTTCGAGGTTCTCAATTATCGTGCGCTTTAGAAGCCGCGGGAAGATGTTAGTTTTATCTATTGGCTTCGGATAAGATTTAAGCTAAATAACATCAGCCCGGGAGATTCACTAGAAGATGATCCAAGATGATCCAAGTTCAACCAAATAACCGCGCTTGAGAACGAGAGGGTCAAGTTTGCTGTGGTTACACATTCTCTCTCTCGATATCAAATGGAACGAAGAAGATGAATCTAATTCTCGGTTACAAGAACTCCGAGAGTTTGATATTTAACTAACGGTTTTAAATTCCATCTTGAAATTCAAAAAGTATAAAATTCTTCAATTTCGAAGACTCTTACAGATGGAATATATATTAATGTTCCTGATTTAACTAACAAAAAAGACGTTTGCGCCTGATTTGTAAATCGACTTTCACAGATAAAAAAAACCTGCGGAGATAAAATGACTCGGCGTGTCAACTGTCATCGGTCGATAATGCTGATATGCTCACGTACGTACAAATGCGTGCGGTGACCATGATCTAACGGTTCGTTAATAAATTAACACAAAAACGGTCAGGCGCGGTCGATCGCTCTTCGAGATCGCACATATACATTTGTTTCAAATATTTGACAATAACGTAATTTTAATAATATAAAGCGAGCAACCTGTTTCTGATAAGTATCCATTTGTGTGGACGCTCTTATATATAAAACTAAATTTATGACATCGAAATTTCTGATCATTATCAATCAACATTCTAATTATTAGCCTGTTTTATGAGTTGTTAATTAAAAGCTAAAAACGTTTGATATAAAACTAACGCACAATTTACAATAATGTCTGGTAGTTATTCTATGCTATGTATTTCACACACAATTCCTCTTCTTCCTTTCTAATTCACTGATCTTGAGAGATGAGAGTGGATCTTTTCTCTCTTATGCTTCTTAATGTGCGAATTGATACACGAATGTAAGAAACCTACAGCATTGTTTTTCAAAACCTGAAGAAACTGCGATGTGACAATCTTGAACCTGGATTTCCTGCAGTTTCCGTACAAACAGGTTGATTCTTTTAATTATCCTTCTTATTATCCTTTTTATTATCCTAATTATTATCCTAGTGGAATTAACTGGTGCGAGCAATAAAATAATAAATGTTCAAACAATAGGCGTCGCACTGTCAATGGAGGCGATGGCGTCGCATTCTAGCAACGATAGAGAAGCGCTGGCTGAACTGCTTTACTGAAAAAGAGAAAGAGAGAGAGAGAAAGAGAGAGATATTGTTCGGGGAGAGCCACCCCCTGCACAGGATAGACAGCCGGCGCCCTGTGCCTTATGGTACGACCATGTGCGGACCCGGAAAACCGCCGCCCATGAAGTAGCGGTGTTAATCTCGATGCTGCAACATTTTATCAATACTCTGAGATTCCGTTATCGTGGCCAGATTGACGGCAAGATACAGGAAGAACGATAGACCGACGGAAACGTCATGAAACACACAGAACTTAGATTTCATTTTCCGTCTTCGTTATTCCCGATCGCTTGTTCGAAACTATCCTCTTTCTTTCTTTGTTTCTCTCTCTCTCTTTCTTACAACATACACGCTCACATATTCGCTCACCACTCACCATCATATCCGTCGCACGGCTGTCCACCGCGTGTCCACGCATATCCCGGACGGAGAGCAGGACAAGCGGGACAAAGAGAAGACAATGGCGTCTTCGTCAGGAAGACAAAACGACGATCAACGTATGAGCAACGTCGGTCGACGTCGCGATGACTGACCGTTCGCACGAACGCACAAACGCGAACCAACTTCAACCGCGAGCGCAGAAAATGGCGTTGCACTGTGGCACGCAGCGCGTTTGCACAGGGTATGGAAACTCCCATACAAAAACGTGAAAACTGTATTTCTGCGCCATCTAGGTTCACAGACGGGATTAGTTTGGAACTAAACTGCGATTCGCTCTTTCTTGGTTTGGTTTGGTGCATATATGGCTCAAAGGACCGTTTCAAGCTAGTCCATACGCCATTCTAAGTCTTTAGGAATCGTGACACAGGTTCTAAACCGTGGTTTGGGTACAAGCCACGGAGTTGTACGTTCGTTAAAAATACTGATAAACTGAAGAAATCGGTGTAAAAACACCGAAGATTGTCCAAAAATATCTAAGCGTAACTACGCACATCTAACCGGTACGGCTGATGCAACACCACAAATCTCATCAACGCTATATTCGCTCTTTCTTCAGATCAGTATCATAGACTTATATAATAGACGGAACATTTATATGACGAAGTTGAAGACAACATTAAAGGACAGAAATAGTATTGGAGTAGTTGTTTCTCTCTCTTACAATAAGATAGGCGGGGGACCAATCATCTCACAAGTCTATGCTATCACCTTTCACTATCACTCTCCGTTTTCTGATCTGCATTGATATATTTGTATTTTTTTTTGTATGTTAGATTCCGTATGTTCCGTTATCGCTATTTCTTCCATTGTGCAAGGGGCTTATATTACATGAAATTCGAGATATTGACCATGTTCGGCAGACTGAGCAGATCAGTGAGCGCTTAGTGATTATTCAATATGATTGGTTTCTACATTTAGATCCAGCGAAGATCTAAAGGCAAGATTCAATCATATTAAAGAATCACTAAGCGTTCACTGATTTGCTCAGTCTGCTGAACGTGGCCAATGACGTTCGTCACTGGAGGTGCACCCTATACATGCTAGTGTTCTGCACTTTAGTCACTAGATCTCTATCGCGTTTGTACTGTACTTTAATCTTAAGCCACATAAGCGCGTTCTTGTGGCATGTACCTTTTTCTCAAAAAAAAAAAAGAAAAAAGAAAAAAAAGACGTTCGTCACTGAGCCATTTTTGAACTAACCTAACCTAGAATGACGTTCGTGTGCACGCGAGTGCTGTTCTCGAACGCAGCCCAGTAGTAATCTGCGTTTTTAAAAGAACAAAATATATAAAAGTGGTAGAGAAATAAAAGAGAATATTATTTATTCTTCTGCTTTCTTTCCTGCATATCCTGCGGTGGTCAGTCTTGATTGTGTATCTTATTAACATATCACAGTCTACGTACGAAGATTGATCACATTCGCAATGGTTGAAGAAGCAGAGCAAGCAAGTAGTACAATTATATTAAAAATCACTGTTTACAGTGTACAAAAAAAATATTTAACTTCTTACACGAGTCTTACTTTATAACAGTTGCCGCCAATAGACGTGAAGGAGCCTTTAGATCTTATAAAACTAAGTCTAGAAGAACGAATCTACGTAAAAATGAGAAACGAGAGAGAGCTCCGAGGAAAGTTACATGTAAGAAAGTGGACTCAGCTTTGTTTCTTGATAGTCCAAGTTGCATTTATCAGATATAATTTAATTAATCTCATCACCAATTTATTTTATTTCATATACATTTCAGGCTTTTGACCAGCATCTGAACATGGTATTGGGTGATGTAGAGGAGATTATAAATATAGTTGAGATTGATGAAGAAACGTATGAGGAAATATATCGCCAGAAAAAAAGGACTATCCAAATGTTATTTGTGCGCGGAGATGGAGTGATCTTAGTATCTCCACCTACATAAAATAATCACAAACGCTTAGATGCTTGTAAAGCTATAAGCACTTTCTATGTGATCAAAACTTCTACATTTGACCCAAAAGAATTTAAGTATATGAATGTACTTTATACGATTGCTTAGAAAATTAAGAAAGATCTCCACATAGACCATAATGATTTATCTTTTTTTGTAATTACATTATGATAATTCTGTAAGTCACTCAGCTAAACAATAAAATATGTATTCTTATAGTACGTAATATGTAGAATAAGAAATGAAGTTTATATTGTGTAAAAGACAAATTATAATCTGGAGAGGGTGCGGTTCGAAACGTTTATTGTAACAACTTGGTAGAAGCTTTGTAGTTTTATGATTCTAGTCGATAGCACGAGATACAAGGGATTGTTTGATTAATGTTTTGTGATCTGTGCCGTGAGATCGTCAATTCTCTGGTCTTTTAACTTCATTATACTTTCCAAGTGTGAGATCCTCTGTTGTAATATAGAGATTATATTACTTTTTTCTTGTAATTCTCGCTTTAAACGGATGAAAAGATATTGAGGGACAGTTTTGTTTGTTGTCTCGTCAGGATTTAGTGTAGACTTGACTGCTTCTAAAGTGCGTGAGAATTTATTTTAAAAATGAAATTACCAGTACAATTAGAAATGAGAGTTAAATAAGTATGTGAAAAAAGAACTCGATATATTTTTACTATTTACCTTTGCACTCTTCGTGGCAAAGATATAAGGATTCTCTGTCAATGTTGCTGTCTTTTAGGATTTTAACTCGCAAGTCAGAAAGAACTTTCTCGATAATACCCGGTTGAGAACTTGCTAGTTGATTGATCACTTCTTTTCCCAATTTCATGTCTATCTTCGACAGTACCTTGCGATTTAACATGCACCAATTGTCAATCTTCTTTGAAACACTGTTCCCGGTGATGTAATTGTGCACATCCACGTGTTTAGGATAATAGCGTTTCAGTAATTCCGCCATCAATACTAAAATTGAATTTTTTTTATTATAAAAAATTGGTGATTTTTTAAAAACAGTGGATTTCGATTCGGAGAGAAATTTTCTCTCTCGATTGGTAACTATTTAAAAACATTTTTTTCAAAACTTATTAAAATATTTAGACATTTCTGCGAAAACAAGATTGAGATGTTTGTTACCACCATCGGAGAAGTCTCTGGCTATGTTTCTTTTAGGCCTGGAAAACTTGATGCCGTCGATCCAATTGTAGATCTTTCCGAGATGATCACCAGTTTCCGAACTCGCGTTCATGTTCACTGTAATGATTTTAATGATCTGCACATCAATGAGTTTGATCACGAAATAATATAAAAAAGAGTAAAGCTTCAGTTACATATGTATCTAAAATTTTTAAGCGCGGTCGACATCATTTTTATCCTATCGTACAGAATGAATTCGCTCGATGTTTGCGCTTGTGACCAGTTTCAGATCTGTTCGAATAAAATAATTTGTGTTCAATACAGTTTTTCTGTATTTAGTAATAGAGAGAGAGAGAGAGAGAGAAAGAGAGGGGTAGAAATTAAGAAGAAACAACAATTCATAAAGTATTAAAGTAAAAATTTTAAAAGAACTGAAAACAAAAATAGAAAAAAAATTGGATAAACTGTGCGTCCTAGGTATATTTGAAAAATAAGCTACAACTATTGTTAGGATATTTACTTTTTAATAGGATGATATAATATACGTGTTTATCACTACGGATTATCTATAATTAAAATATAATTAACAAAATACTATATTTTTAATTGAATCTTTTCTCTTCTTCGAAAGTAATAGCAGAACAGTATATATCTTGCTCTCTCTCTTCGTATCGGTTGGTTCTATATCAATGACTGGAATCGCAAGCACACAATCATCTTTCTCACGTACGCACACGCGTACGCGTGTACAGGTTTATAATAGAAGAAAGGCGCACACTCCGCATCCCTCCGGAGTCGCTCTTCAAGACTTGGGCTTTTTCGTCGCTTTACTTCAGTTCAGTGGCACGCAGAACTTGCTGCGCGGAGGCGAATCATCAGGTGGATATAAAGAGTGTGATCTTAAAAAGAAAAACTTTATGTCGACATAAATTAAAAAATAAATATTCAGCAAATAGTTGCGTAATTTGCGATACGATTTCATAAACTTTCTGGAAGAGAAAGATAAAAAAATATTGAATATCTCAGAACGATGACTTTGGGAAATGATTCCACCATGCACAGTAAGTAGTAATTTTTCTATTATTTTTGTTTTAAATAAATAATTTAAACAATTAAATGCTGTGAAAAAAAAGAGAATATAAGAATATATGTACAGAAAATTTAATTAATATTGATACAAAATATTTATATTTTTATCACTATTCTATATATATATATTTATATATACATAAAAGTCTAAAATCTTTTTATCAATAGTTTTTCTAAATCAACTTCAATATTATTAAAAATTGCATTATTTAATTTTTTTACAAAAAAGTTTGGCCTCGTGACCTTGCCACGTCCTTTGTTCCGGATCGATTTTCACGAGATGCTTGGCAACTCTGATCGAATCTTTCTTGTAAATTTTGTATTTTCATCTAAATTTTTCGCGATATTTACATCATGTGTCATCCGTTCTGATGATGCAAATATCGCGTAATATTGATGCAACGCTATGCAAGCGCCGGCTTAGCATCATCAATCGACATAGAAAAATATTTTGCAAAAGTTTGTAGTCACATAATAAAGATTTTCGGAAAACTATAAATGCGACATTTTAAACAGTAGAAATAAGTTTTTTTAACTTAATTAAAGATAAACTATATGTGTGTGTATACACACGCATTTATTGCGCTATCTTTGATTCGATGTTAGATCATTAGGATATCACCGGCACATTCGAAGCGACAAGCCCGCACATGGTTTGCACGTTATGCGCGTTCTCGTTCTTAAAATACTCTTTTACATACACACGCAAAATCAATTTCGCGTCAAGTCAAACAGAAAAACACCATTTACCAAGTTGGAAAATTGCGACAACGTTATTTATTAGTAAATTTTTTGACAAAGTTCTCCATCTCATTGTCTTACAATCAAATGAATAATATAAGCAATAAAATCAATTGACCACCTGGTATTTGATTCTGTCATGACATTTTGGAGATGAAAGTATTTATGGCCTCTCATTGCTTTAAGAAGACAGTATTAAATGTCACGTGCAACTTGTCACGTATCTTTCGCGAAAGCAATAGCCGAAAACTCCAACCATATGATGATTCATACTTCAAAGTATACTCTTGATCGTCTTGACAGTTTATCGTCTTGTATTATTACCAAGAATGTTACGCGATGTTTGACCTTCGATATTTACTAACGTAAAGACTAAAAAGTGAATTAAATCTTAAAAGTTACTACTTTTCTTATAAAAAAAAATACAAAATATACGTTTTTGAAACACTTTAATGGAAATTTAAAACTAAACATTTACAATAACTTCTTCCTGGTTAAATCAAGAATGATCTCTTATCAAATTGTTGAAGGAAATTAAGGAAAACATATCGTGTTATTATTTATTTTCAGCCCCGAAAAAAAGCAAAACACTACTTCAGGTTCGATATTTGATGGCGATAATGGGCTCTATCGGTCTTGCTATTCTCTACGGTTTCAAAGTCAACGCCAGCGTGGCAATTGTCGCTATGGTAAACCATAGTGCTGTAAAATCGCTCACGCCTTACGATTCAGAAATTAACGATAATAAGACAGTGAGCGTTGATGCTTGCCAATTTGACGTTTCAAACGTTACGAAAATTGAAAGCGAGGTGCGACAATATTTTATACAAAAAAACAATTTGCGTGCTAGGCGTTTTTCCCATAATCGTAACTTAAAATAAAACTCTTTGCAATCTTAATATATTTTTTAAAACAAAAAATAATACACTATCTGATCGCGCATCTTTTCAGGACGGTCCATTCGTATGGGACGAGCTTGTTCAGGGTCTCATTCTATCCTCTTATTTTTGGGGCTACACAGTGTCCATGCTGCCCGGTGGACGATTGTCGGAGCTTTGGTCAGCCAAATGGATGATGAACGGTTCGATTCTGTTGAATGTCATAGCCTCCGTTCTAACGCCCGTTGCAGCACGTATTCATTACGGATTCTTCATAGCAATGAGATTTCTTCAGGGAATCGGTGGCGTCAGTTGCGATTTATTATATTAAAACATGAATTTTTTTCAAATTTATAAATATATATTTTGATGTGATTCAAATGTCGGTCGATTTGAATTACAGGGTGTATCGTTCCCCGCTATGCACGTTATGATTGCCAAGTGGGCGCCGCCAAATGAAAGAAGTATCATCGCCTCGATCGTATACGCAGGTAAAGCGACAAATTATCAAGAATATTATATTTGAAAAATGCTGGCGATAAAATTCTTCTTATCATGATTTTCGAAATGTATATAGACGAAAATTAACAATAATCACAAAATCTAAAAAAATTAACAAAGTTGTTCTTCAGGAACCGCACTCGGTACCGTGATTTCTATCTTATTAACCGGAATGCTAGCCGCGAATTTTGGTTGGGAATCCATTTTCTATATAGAAGGTGCACTTTGTTTAATTTGGTGCACCGCTTGGTGGTTGACGATAGCGGATTCTCCGCAAGAACAGACAAAACTTATCAGTGAAGAAGAAAAGGACTACATCATCACATCTTTGGGAGGACGCGGCGAGAAAAATCTTCCCAAAACGGTATTCGAAAGTTACACGCGTTGTATGTGAGTTCTCCCGTACAGTGCTTTTTGTCTATTCGTTCATCTATTTGTAAGTTTTAATACAGGTTCCGTGGATAAAAGTATTTCGTTCCAAGCCATTCTTAGCCATCTTGATCGCCCATTTCTGCAGCAATTTCGGATGGTACATGTTGCTCATCGAAATGCCCACTTTCATGAATCAAATTTTGAAGTTCGATATAAGCTCAGTAAGAACTGCTTTTAAGATCCAACATAGAATGTACGTGATTTAACATTTATCACAAGCTAACTCGTTTGTTCATCAGAATGCAGGATTGTCATCAATTCCATTTTTATGCATGTGGCTTTTTACCATGATTTTGAGCAAGGTATTAACTATTCTCCAGGAAAAAAGCTTGATCACAGTGACGACATCTAGAAAAATCGGCACTCTTTTTGGTAAGTGTATACAGAAAGTTACTCTATCAGTTTTGTATACATATGATCGCACGTATTTATTGTAGCATCTCTTGTACCTATGCTGTGCTTAATAAAACTGTCGTACATCGGATGTAATCGCATACTGGCAGTTCTGTTAATGACAATCGGAGTGACTTGCATCGGCGGGATGTACTGTGGCTTTTTGGCAAATCATATAGACATAGCACCGAACTTTGCCGGTAGTCTCGTAGCGGCGACAAATGTTGTCGCCACCATACCTGGCTTTACCGTACCAATTTTTGTGGGACAACTAACTCACGGAAATGTGAGTAATAAGATGAAAAGATTACTTTTATGAGTTACAAAACAGAAAAAAATATAATATGTGTTTTAGATAATAGTTTCTAAGGAAGCAACTCTTGATTTGCTTTATTTAATTCTGCTAAATTGACATAGTTTGATTGTATTTTATAGCAAACGATAGAAGCATGGCGGATAATATTCTTCGTAACAATCATACTGTACGTAATCGAAATAGTGGTTTACACCGTCTTTGGTAGTGGCAACGAACAACCATGGAACAAGATCAGTACATCCGACGACGAAGCAAATGAGACAGTATCTCTAAACGATAATAATATGAAATAGAACTTATGTTCAAACTTAATGTTTTATACAATTTTATATGATTTAATTTTGAGAAATTATTAAACTAATCGCGTCGCTTCTATTCGCGCGTGGACGCGTTGACGCATTCTGCATGCAGTAGCCATTATTTTAATTTTCATGTATCTCTCTTTATCTTAATTTTTTTTCTCATGTTGTGTATATCTATTATAATAAAGTTCAAGCTTTCACTCATAAGCCAGTCGACAATAATCTTATGTTGTACAAGTGAAATTTGCTCGTTAGAGCAAAAGAAAACAATGAAGGTGAAAACAAAAAATAGAAAATATTTAGAAGGAAAAACCTCATTTGGTTGCCCTCAATCAATTATTTGGCTGAGTAAACTGACTGAGAATAAGAATATTTACTTATTATAGGACGCCCTATATATACATTTATTACATATACAATACACACACACAATATACTATATAAAATTAATATCTATATATGTTTAAATTATTTTCACACGTGTGTACTCACATCATATTAATTACCGCACTCGTATTATTTTACAAAAATATGTAGGACCCCAATTGTTTTTGTGTGTAGGAATAACGATATGACCGAATTTTAATCCAAAGTCGCCGAACTTGTAAAGACATTTTAGTGGACTTAACGCCTCTTCCATATCTCTATATAGCCCCAGAAAAACAGTATAAAATATAAAATAACAATATGACAATACTTTGTTGATGTCTCGTATACAAAAGATACTTACTTTACAATCATAATAAAATTCGTTTCTTCCCAGGCTTTTTTCAGTGCCATGCCAACGACACCGTCATTCTGAATGGGGCTGAGAGAACAAGTAGAATACACGACCGTTCCACCAACTGCTACTATTTTTAACGCGTTACTATAACATAAAAAGTATTCAACAATGAAAACTAAGGCGATATAATATAGTATAATGTAGTATAGCAAAATAATAGTATCGTACGCTAAAATATCCGCTTGTAACTCCGGCAGTTGTAATCTTTCTCGTATTCTTGTTGGCTTGAAAATGTTGTTCTCTTCTGAGTGTAGAACATGTCTGTCCGTAGTGCATGGTACATCTACCAAGATCTGTGAGAATATTAGAGAAATTTCGAAAGTACATATATTGTACAATGTTTGTACAATTGAATACTACCTTGTTATACATATCTTTGTCCGTAATATATCTCGCATCATGTTGTGTCACGAACAATTTGTCATGCCACTCGCCGATATCAGCCACAAATTGATTTATAACATTATCAATTCTATTCGTTCGAGATTGTTTGATATCATTAGCAACCATCATACGCGGCATAAGTGTCTGGAGAATGGTCAAGGCTTTTCCCCCTGGTGCCGCACACATATCCAATACAACATCGCCAGGCTGCAAATCCAATGCTAGCACTGGCAATACAGAAGTGCCGTCCAGAAGATAATAATCTGTGCAATGCGGAATATATTTATACCAATAAGAATTTTATATTTATGTAAGAGCCAATATACCTAAAACTCCAGTTGATCCTTTTTTTGGTGACGGAAACATTTTGTAATTGTTTTCTTCAAAGGTATATATGTTGAGATACTTTGGAAATGTTAATACTCCTTCTTTCTCGATCTTTACCGAGAATTCTGCACCTTCTTTGTAGTAGCCATAGTGTTGCGATTCTAATATCCAGTCTTCCAAACCTAAGAGATGATAATATGAATGTGTTTTAAATTATAGCACAATTACTTATAGTACAATTTATAATTGTAAGATTAATAAAATAAAATTTTTTTTCAGATGCAAAATTAAAATTACCTTTAAGTTTTGTAGCTGGCACAAATTCGTACAGTCCACCTAAACCAAAAGTAGGATGCACAATTCGATTTTCATCCAATGCTATTTCATTCAAATTTGATTCAATGGATTTCATTTCTACAAATGTATCTTGTTTTACTGTTAGATTTTTGTTTTCCTCCTTTAAACTTAAAGATACAGGCAATGAATCATAATCTGCTGGATAATTGGACTGTATTGTTGACATTTGAGCATTATCAATTACAGATCCTATTTCTTGCTTTTGTTTCTTTTGTCTATCATTGAGTGGTTTTAACTTCTTTTCTTTCATATAAGTCTCATAAATTATTTTTAAGTTTATAGCACCTTGGATCTAAAAAAGATCAAATATATTACTTATATTGTTGTGGCTCTCTGGTTTTCGCTTTCATTTATATTACTTGTATTTACAAAAAAACATACAATTAATATAAATAACCATTCTCTGTCATGCATAAATACCTCTAATTCCGATTTTATTCTGTCAACATCACTGAAAATATTGACAACAGCCATATACTTGTGTCTTTCTATTAATAATGCAGCTCTTATATATTTCCATGATTGTCCATATACATTACCATAAAATTCATCAAAATGTTTCAGAGCAATATTCATATGTGTTTTCTTTTTTCTGAGCTTAGACTAAATAAATGTAAAATAGAAAAAGGATGAAACATTTAAAATCTCAAACTCTTTATATGTTTATTTTGTAAAATTTAAAAGTACATAAAGGACAATATCTAACAGATCTGATTCTATATATTTGCACGTAAAGCAGTGAATATATATATTGTTGTACAAGAATTTACATAAAAGAAACAAATAAATTAATCTAAATCCCAGTTTAGTTCATTCATGCTTTTCACAAATAACCTTTTATATAAATTATGTATTTGTATATGTATATATGCATATGGATGTATGTATGTAACTTTTCTAAAAAATATACATATGTATATTTTTTCTCTCTCTCATACTAATTTTATTTATTTATTTTTCTCTCATACTAAGGTACTTACCCAGTGATCCGCCTTATTACCATATCTGATAGCTTGTACCTTTATCGGTTCTTTTATTTTTATCAGTCTATTACATAAATGTGCCATTTTTTTCAAGTTATATTTTTCGTATTTTATATATAAATCATATCTCTTTTAGTTTTATGCAAAATATCTTACAAAAGTGACATAACCAAGACTTAAATTCTTTATAGTTCAAGAGCTGAAATATATCCTGTAAGTACAGACGGCGTCATTAATTCAAAGAATAGGCGCGGGGATCGGAGGGCAAGCGGGGCGGTTGCTCGTAGCGCCAACGGGCGCCGTACTAACTAACTAGTAGCAATCGGNTGTCCACAACTACGTCGTGTCGATAATGTAACTGCTCTTTCTTTCTATTTTCTTCTCAAAACGTAAAACTATTGGCCATTTACTGAAAGTCTAACGTTGACAAATAACATTTGTATATATATATATGTGTGTAATAAATGAAACTGTAATGTCTTCTGTATATGAGAGGAACGTATATTGTAAAAGTCTCGTTAAAAAAATTGTATATTTAAAATTATATGTAGTAATATATATATATATATATATTACTACATATAATTTTCTATAAATGGCCAATAGTTTTACGTTTTGAGAAGAAAATAGAAAGAAAGAGCAGTTACATTATCGACACGACGTAGTTGTGGACACCCGATTGCTACTAGTTAGTTAGTACGGCGCCCGTTGGCGCTACGAGCAACCGCCCCGCTTGCCCTCCGATCCCCGCGCCTATTCTTCGAATTAATGACGCCGTCTGTACACTAGTTTATCGTGACATAACCAACATTTAACAAACACAATATAACCTCAAAATATCTCAATATGGGCGCTTTCCAGCTACGTACACAGGCGATACTGTGTAAAACAGTGTCCATTAGTGTGAGAAAGAGCTTATCAGTGTGTCTCACTTACACTAGTGGACACTGTCGCCTGTGTACGTAGCTGGAAAACACCCTATGATGTAGTTCACTCACATTTACAAATCGAAATCAAGAAACACATGAAATCTGTATAGGTTTTCAGGTTGGTATTATTTTTAATCTGTCTTTCTTCTGTTTATTATAAATTATTGTCAACAAGAGAAATTTATATAAGTTATGAAAACAAAATACCAACATGTTGTGTTAACATAAAACGTCCGGTTATAATCGTATCATCTCTCGTAAGCAGATAAAGTTTTACTGAGTCACAAAAAGTTCATTTTACGATTTTCACAATAAAAAATAATGAATTATTAATTTATAAAGATCCGGGAATGAGCGTGCGCCATGAAGAAACGGTCCAGCATTTCGCGCGTTCATGATTGCTAGAAGCGCGGCAAAACTCATAAAATTGGTAAAGGACTTTTCTCGATTTAATACAACTCGTTCTACCACGAGAGATGATACAACTATTATTGAACACTGTATATTATTATATATTATATTTACACTTAGTGCCTGAGCACAATAGAGAAAATATTAGGAATAAGAATTAGAAATAGAAGTTAAATATACTATACAATGACAAAAAATAAAATATAACATATAAATACAGGAAGTATGTCATATAAGCCTATAGTTATATACATTTATGTTATATCTTAGTTTTTTGCATTTTGTATTTAACCTCTGTTTTTAATTCTTATTTTTAATATTTACTCTATTGTCCTCAGGCCCTTAGTAAAAGAAATCTTCAGATATTAATGCTAAAATCGTGCTGAATACTAAAGGACTTTATAAGAATGTATGCGTAGTTTTGAAACGCTTATGATGAGATAATTTTTATAAATATGCGTATTGTAAATAAGTATCGATACACATATAAATCAATGCAAATGGATAGATAAAAAGGAAAATTTGTTTCTTTCATCAAATATGTTAAATATGTATGTGTGTGTGTATGTATATATATATATATTATACATATATATATATGTGTGTATGGGTGTGTGTGTGTATATATATGTATGTATAGGTGCACAAACAGAGCGCAGACAACCGTTACCGGAATTTGCGGATGTAGAACGGAGAACAGTATCTAACAGTAACTGCTTCGCTTAAGACGTGATTTTAAAGAAATATATGCGCAAAAACAGCGCATGTTCTGACAACATACATCAATTTTGAATATATTAAGTTGATTGGATCTAATTTAATTTAATATTCACTGATACTGTAAAAATGTTACTTGAAGTGATTTCCATTTGTGTCCTTGCGTTTGGCACTATCTTGTATACTTTTCGTAAAAGTCAGATTGGCATGGACATATACTACACGATACGATACTTTTATTGCGGAATCAAATACTGGCTCTATGATGTATTCGACGCTAAATACAACAAGATCAGTGGTAAGAAATAAATCTTCTATCTTCCATTTATACATATAACGCACACGTTTTTCAGATTGTTTTAAAATATAACTGTTTTTTCTTTTTGGGAACAAAAAAGTAAAATAAAACTATTAAAACTTCTTACCAATCAAACTTTTCTAGAATTATTTATATAAACTTTTTAATTAATTTAATTATATGTATATCAATATGTTTTATAGCAGAAAGAAAATAATAAATATAAAACTGCACGTGCTGAAAAAATAAATACATATAAAAATAAAGCAAAATGTATACAATTTTTACAATAGATACAAATTATATACACAATTATACACATAAATACATATTTGCATTTTGTCTTGATCCATGATATTCCCCAGTTACTTTTTAATTTTTAGATTTACCCTCTATGCCGGATAAAATCGCAATTGTAACTGGCGCTTCTAGAGGTATAGGAGCAGAAGTAGTCAAAAAATTACTACAGTGTAACATGGAAGTTATAATCGGTATAATGTTGTAAATTATATATTTATGAAATATCTAATTGTTACTACATCTTTATGTACGACAAAAAATGTATAATTAGCATGTAGGACAATCAACGCGGGTGAAAAGCTTATTCTTGAAATTAGAAAATCCGGTATTACTAGCGGGTGTGCAAAGGTTTACAAACTTGATAACGCGTCTTTTAAATCGGTGAGAGAATTTGCCGAGCAAATAAACAAGGATTACAGCAAAATTCATATATTAATTAATAACGGTATGTAAGTGTGTACAAGCGCGCGCGCGCACACACACACACACATCATAATGTGTATATATATGTATACATATGTACACATATGTACAATATAAATAAGCGCTTCACACACACATACACATGCACGCACGCATAAAGATAATTTAAATGATTACAAAAGAAAGACTAAAATCGCTTGTTTCGTTGACGTTAATCGTTGTTTCTTTTCAGCTGGCGTCATGTTTTCTCTTGTTTACACAACAACAAAAGACGGCTTTGAAGAACAGTGGGCAATAAATTATTTGTCACACTTTTTACTGACATTCCTTCTTTTGCCGTTATTGGAAGCCGGTGGACAGCCCGATAGTTGTAGCAGAATTATAAATGTTACATCGTGTGCTAATACTATTGGAGACATGAACTTCAACTATATCAAAAATTGTTCCAAGTAATCATATGTAAAAATTATTTTGTTATCTGCCTTTCTATTTTTTTAAAGAGGATTTTTATTAAATATTTTAAACTAAGTTTTTGATTTACATGTTTATTCAAAATTTTTAAATATCGTCTACTAATTAATAAATAATTACTGTTTTGTTGTATCAGAAACACATACTGCCGACATTTATCGTACGCTGAAAGTAAATTAGCACAGACAGTGTTCACGATAACATTGCATAAACTCCTAAAAAATAGATCGGTAAACGTGCAAGTATATTCAGTGCATCCAGGTATAGTGAGGACAGATTTGTTCAAGAATACTTTCTTTGCTCAAGATGGCAAATGGCTTACGACACTATGGAAGGTACCACATTTATTACATTATATATATATATATATAACATTTGCTTTGAAATATAAAAGAAATTTGTTATTATGGTATTAGCTCGGTAAGTAAGTTTGAGTACTTTGTGTATATAATTTAGCACACAATTAACAATGTCTAACTACATATATATTACAGACACCTGAACAGGGAGCTATTCCAATAGTATATGTTGCAGTCAACAAAGATGTTGAAATAAAGAGTGGCACGTATTTTAGCAATTGTAAAGAAGTAGCTGCGCCTTCTTTAGCACTAAAAGAGGATATTCAAAAAGAATTGTTTGAATTGACTCTAAAACAAGTAAAATTAAGCGATTTTTTCCAACTTTTATAACATAATCGTTTATTTTACATTTTTGGCAAAAAATGGATTTTATTGAACATGGTACTTATAAAAGAATCATGAGTGTTTTTTAATTCTAATCAATATGACAAAATACAACTACTTAATAATATTAAATAAACATTGCAAAAATGTGAACAAAAGTTCTATAAAATGTTTTTACCTAGAAGTTTTGCGCTACTAAATATAAAATACAATACTAATATATATACACGTAACAAAACAAGTATTATATGTATATAAAATATGTATATAACAAGTATTATGTGTATAAGAAACACATTTAAATGTATACCACAGATCTTGTTCTTTTTTGAGAGATACAACCAGTATAATATCGTTGTTATTCGAAGAATGCACTTTATTTGTGTAAGACATTTTACAATAAAAGTTTTGCATACAAATTTTCGTGTTTTCAAATTTGACATAGTAAATATATTTTCTTAATTTGGTGTAAAGAAAGGTGATATGTAACCAGGACAATTTTTATTACAAATTACGAATTACGCATATTTTTAAATAATATTGCACTAAAACAAAAGACATACATGTGTGTATAAATATTATGCAAAAATAACACATTTTTCGATTCTTTTACGTTTGTGTTTATAATAATTAATCACAAAAAAGTATAACTATATCAATATACACGTTTGACATTTATGTATATTGCTGCATACAAAACTTGAAAAAAGTAAAGACTAGAGCACATGTCAAAATTTAAAATTACTAGCAATGAAAATTCTATTTTATAAAAAAAAGAGATATAAGTTATAGAAACAGTTTTTACATATATTTCAGTATATCAAATATAAATAAAATAACTAAAAAACTTTTATTTATAATCTATAGATACAGAAAAAACTCAGATCATAATACTACATAATATTATATAATATCATATACATCCTCTTTTTTAAAATTATTTAAAATATAAAATTTGTATTTCATTAAAATAAGAAATAATTCTGTTATTTAACACATAAGAATATATATGTATGAATTGCCTTCTTTAAAATATCATAATATTGCACATTAAAAAGAACGATATATCATAATATGATTTGCAATGTATTAGAAACTTTGTTTATTTAAAAAAAAATAATTAAACATTAAAGTTTTTGCTATTATTAGCAAAAGTTTGGACAAATCACTAAAATGTATTCTAATACTAACTCTCTATTTGTACTTTTAAAATGACAAAAGCTAGTTGTGTGTTAAATGCATTTAATTGTGCGTGGAAATAAATAAACTTATAAATAGCTTAAAAATCTAACTGTTACTTAAAGTACAAACATTCAAATAAAAAGTGATAATAACAAAGCGTATAATAAACTTTTTTTTGTTTTTCCTTTTTATGTTTTAAATATTATAAATATATATCAACATAGCATAAAACAACGTAGCATATAATATTGTAATATTAAACAATAACACTGTATCAAAGATGTAAATGTATTAGATGTTTCTTAATTATCAAATATTGATACGCTCGATATTTAATTACCATGTCTATAAAAAAACGTTTATCGTTTCATCTTTATAGAATTTTAGTTATATATGTATATATAACTATATTTTAGTTATACATGTACACACACGCACGCACATGTATATGTATGTGTACATATATACATGTACAGTAGGAAGCATCATATCACGCGGCTTCAGGGGAAGTATTTTTCGGAAATTTCTTCTCTAGCTGCTCCTATTACTGCACGCTGTTCTCCTTCGATCTCGGGCTGCTGACGGAGATCGAAGAAAAACGGCGCGCGATAGTAGAAGCAGCCAAAGGAGAAATGTCCGAAAAACACTTCCCCTAGAACCGCACGATATGATGCTTTCTACTGCATATAATTAAAGATATATACCTTATACTGAAAATATTTAATATTATATAGAAAATTCACTTAAGAAAGTCTGCTACAACCACAATTACTACTATCACCGATTGATGTTGTTTTACCATTTATTGAAGTTGTATTCGTTTCATATCGAGGTAATTCTTTACTGCGTGCTTGCTAAAATATATTGATAAGTGTTTCAAAAAAATCAACTCCTTAAATAAAAAAAAAAAAAATAAAAAAATATATATATGCTCACTTTACCTCCATAAGTTCTGCTGCTATCTCCATAAATAATCTCTCTACGTTTTCTGCTTCTTTGGCAGATGTTTCTAGAAAGTACATTCCATGTCTCTGTGCAAAATCTTCTCCTACATGCGTCGGTATTTCTCTATCTTCTCGATCAATTTTATTTCCTGATATTAAAAAATGTATAATTAGCAAACCTTAAATGACAATTACATATATGTAAAATGTTTTCTTTATTAATTTCTATGTTTTATATACTGCTACCTACCTACTAATATTCTAAGAACTTTATTACTTGCATACTCCTCAATTTCTCTTAACCAATCTGGCAAACAGTCAAATGTAGGTTGACAAGAAATATCATAAACTAATATCAATGCATGTGCTGATCTATAATAACTTTGTGTGATAGAACGAAATCTTTCCTGACCAGCAGTATCCCAAATTTGCAACTAAAGGAGAAGATAAAAAAATAGAATGTAAATTAAACATATATTTAAATAATATAACATATATTTAATATGACATAGTACCTTGACTTTTTCATTTTCTACTTCAACAGTTTTAATCATAAAATCAACTCCAATAGTTGCACCTTGTCCAGGTGGAAATAAACCCTGTAAATAATTATTTTAAAAGAATTAAATAACAACATCTGTGCTAATCTATATGTAAGAGTTCACTTATGGTTTGCATTAAATATTTAAATATTTTAATTTTATACATATATACATATACATATATATATATGTATATATATGTTTTTATAATATTGCATATCAAAAGAACAATCTGCGTAGTAATAAATTTAATCTTTTACATATTATAAAAAATCTGCTTAAATTATAATATTATCTATATATGTATAATAGATAACATATATGTATAATTAACATTTACAATGAAACAGGATTAAAAATTGCATAACGATGTTAAGTATTCAAAAAATCAGATATATACTGTATAACACAAGAAAAATCAACATAAAAAGAGTGCTTTAAAATATAATGTATGACACATATGATGACATCATCTGCTGAGTACGTAAAATAAAATCAATTCCGCTTTTCCAGAACAAAAATTGCATTTGAATTCAATACACACACACACACACACACAAATTCGCGAAAAACAAACGCGAAAAGATCGACGAGCAAGTCACACACGCGTTCCTGATCTTATTAATCGTAACATTGGATAGTCAACCGGGAATAAAGTCATCACCTGAGTGAAACGTCGCACCAGACAGGTCTTGCCCACGCCGGCGTTTCCTACGAGTACGACCTTGAAGAGAAACTTGTAGTCTTCCATCTTTGCGGTCTCCGGTATCAACAGCACCAGGAAGTAAAGGTCCACGACGAGCGCGCTCGCGAGGCCTCTTCGTCAACGGAAACAACGCATCGGAGGAGGCGAGAGAAAGAACTCGCCGTGGCACCGCGGACTTTCTGCAGGCATTCACCTTGACGGAGGGCGGAGGGCGGCAGGCGGCCGCACGAAATATTGCAACACACGGCCGTGCCGTGCAGTGCCGTGTATAAATTTCGTAACGCGCTCTCTTTTTTTGGAGGGGCCAAACGAGAAGGGAGTAGGAAGAGGACCGAGAAAAAACGGCAGCAATCACCGATAACTACCTCGGCATCGTTGTTGCATTTGCTCACATTCACTCACTAACATTCGCTGTCACATCACGCGCAATCTTCGATAAAATCGCTCTCGTTTCTTTCAGACGGAACACAGACAAGGGATGCGCGCGCGGCGTCCATCTATCTTCACATTTTAGATATGTATCAAAAAGTTTCAGACACTCAGTATACGTTATTATTTGTAATATTAAATGACAAATAGTTTTGTTTTGAGATGAAAAGAGGAAGGATGAATAGAGATTTGTGTAAGTTTTAGTGTTACAATTATTTATTATTATCATATATTTATGATTAGTAATCTTATTATTTTTATTCTCTTCTTTTTTATATATTATTATCACATTATATTGTTTATTTTTTTAGTTTTATAGTAATAACTTACTAAATCAAGTGATTATTATTATTGTTTTCTTTCTTTTATTGGTTTGATTGGATGTAGATGTGAGACCATAAAAGTCAGTTCATACGCCATTTTGACTTTATTATATATGGTTTGTTCTTTTTCATTAAACTAGCGCTATACTGCGTTCAATTTGAGAAGAGAAATCGGATGAATGAAAACTCGTCCGTTTCGCGCACTTCTTTTACTAAAGTCTGCTTACTCCATAGCCATTGGCTGTCAGCAAGAGTCCCGCCAATCCTGCACGCAATGCTATCCCCACTTTGTCCGCTTTTCTTCCCCTATGCGCAATAAAATTCTCTTCTCAACTTGAACGCAGTATACTTGCCAATTTGCACCACATGTGGACATAGCGCTGGCTTACAGGGCGGAAAAGCTATTACAATTTTTTATACAGCCTTTGTTGCTCTCAGTTTCTTCTCTGCTGTCAGAATGGCGTATGGACTAACCGTTCTAGGTCCAAGAGCCACATGCGCACCAAACCTTTCTTCTCTGCTTGTTGCAAAGGATGTTTGAAAGTGTATTCCTAACAAACTTCTGAACTCCGAGATAAAGTACTTTTTACGAATAATTTGTTTCTCCCGACTGTCTCGCGCGCAAGAAATTTCCTATAGGACTTTACACTTTGAATGATATACATTTGATAATCTTTAAAGAATAACTTTAAACAAGTTTGACATGTGTCAAATTCGCGTTTTTTTAAGAAGTTAGCCGAAACTTCAAACTCAAGAGATGTCAATAAGGCTAAGTTCTCCATAGTGAAACAGAATTAATTCGTAATTACATAAGAAAACTTAATGTGAAACCTGATAATAGTAAGACACCTTTGAGAAAAATGCGACGCGCAACAGGAATAGGTGCGATACATAAGCAAAAATTGGAACAGGAAAAGTATCGGGACAAAGGCACAGAAATTCAGGAGAACCAGCTTGAGCAGATGACAAAACACATGGAAACACTTCGCGTGAATCTGGAGGAATTTGCGTCGAAGCACAAGAGCGAAATCAAGAAAAACGCTCGTTTCCGCCGTCAGTTCACAGAAATGTGTGCCTCAATAGGTGTGGATCCTCTTGCATCCGGTAAAGGATTCTGGTCGGTACTGGGCATTGGTGACTTTTATTACGAGCTTGCCGTTCAGATTGTCGAGGTCTGTATGGCAACCAATCACAAGAATGGTGGACTGATATCACTGGATGAATTAAGGACTCGTCTAATTCAGGCTCGAGGGCGTAGAAAGGAGCATCAAGAGATCACCAATGAGGATCTCTTAGCTGCTGCCAAGAAACTGAAGATTTTTGGCAATGGCTTCTCTGTAGTTCCTATTGGTAGAGGAAGATATTTGGTACAGTCAGTACCTGGTGAACTCAGCATGGATCATACAGCAGTACTGCGTCAAGCGAGTTTGTCTACAAATGCTTATATATCTAAATCTATTTTATGTAAGGAGTTGAAATGGGAAGAAGACAGAGCACAAAAAGCTTTGAATTATATGATGAAGGAAGGACTTGCTTGGCTAGATGAACAAGGGGAAAATGAAATATTATATTGGTTTCCCAGTTTATTTACAGCTTGTATTGTCTCCAAAGAATGAATGTTGTTGTTATTACATTGATAAGAATTATTTTAAACAAAGAATCAATATTGCTTCTTTTAATTTGTAATTTTTTAGTAAATAAAGTCAGGCATTCTGGAATAGTTATAGCACTTGAGATCCGTTGCGATTGTCTTGCATCTAGTATAACAGAGCCTTCCAACTGATCATGTGACTGCATAGAAATCTTATAGTGCAAACTGCACGCCGTACGCAAGTTGGAAGGTTCTGTAGTATAAGATATTGTCACCTAGTCTCAGATCCTTGTATATAACTAAAATAAATGATTACAAAAAATATACTTTTTATATTTTACAATTTGTAAAATTGTATAGTACAAACCTGTGAATGTTATCTGTTTTATAAGTAAATTGTTTACACATTAAAAGTGCTTTTTGTAATTCAGCATTATCTTTTCTTAAGGAATTTATCTTTCCACGCAATTCTTTAGATTTTACTTGAAATCGTGCTGTTAAAGTTTTTGCTTCATCTCTCCATCTTAAAATATATAAGTAAAATTTGTATTATGTTATGTATAATTCTACAGTAAATTAAACTAAAAATAAAAGATAGCATTTTTTTAATACCTTCTACTTAACTTTTGATGAACTGTTACATGTTGCATCATCTCTTTTATTTTTTTATCGAAATTTTCTTGTTGCTTCTTTAATTGTTCGGCTAACAAAGATTGCCAATTGTGATCAATATTTTCAACTCTGAAAATCTAGTAACTTTTAAGCACATCTACACACATGTATATAAATTATGTATAAATATATATAAATGTTGAAGAATAAACTTTATATTTACCGTATGTCCAACATATGCTTATTTACTGTGTCTGCTCGATGCTCAGAGGAAACGGGTATTAGAACATTAGCGCTTGAATTATTTTCCGTTACGTTTGACTTATGAATATTTGTTTCTAATTCGCGGATTTTATTCTCTAACGTGTGCCGTTCGCAATCTCTTTTGTGTATTTCGCGATCGAAAGCCGACTGTAATGACTTGAATTCCGTTGCCAGAGATTCCTTATCATCTGTCGCTCCAATCAATTCACTTTCCAAATCAACATAGCAATCGATCGCGTTCTTTGTTTTTTCATCGGCTAATTTTACGCGATCTCGCATATCCGTGAAATTTTGTTGTTGAATTTGCCTCAACTTCTCGTTTGAAGCTGTTAACTTTTCTTCTAGAATGACAATTTTCTCTCGCAATTGTTGCATTTCTAAATTGTATTGTTTCTTGCATGTTTCGTTGCAGGTTTCCAATTTAGAATCCGTCTGCTTTAATGTTTGTTCGAAGTTCAGAATCGTAGCGACTGATTTCTCCAATAAATCTTCCGAGTCCCGACGTACTTTTATCAGTTCCTCTTCCAATCTATTCTCTTTCTGCGATCTATCCAATAATGTCATTTTCTCCCGCAGTTCTGATTTTAACGATTTGATTTCTAATAAATATTTCTTCACGTTATGTTCGTGAGCTTCTCTCAACTTTGCAATCTCCTCTCGCATCTTTACAACGTGTTCTTCGGTAATAGAAGCTAATCGAGCCTTCAGTCTGGCATTTTGCTCCACAACCTGCGCCTCTCTCTGAAGCACCAAGTCTTTTTCTTTTATCGCGGATTCTATTAGATCGAGAGCTTCAGCCATTTTGCATTTCGTTTCTTCATTCTTCGTCAAAATACTATATGCAACTTTTCTACTCTCATTTAATTTCTTCTCCAAATCCGTCTTTAAATAACTTATGCTATGTATTTCCGCCTTAGCGGCAGACAAATCTTCCGTTAACGATTGTATCATCTGCTGACTATTCCTATCTTTGAAATAAAGTTATTGGCATACTATATCCTTTATGTTACAAATTACACATTATTAATTATACAACTGACCTTTCTGCTGAGCATTTTGTTGGAATTCTTCAAATCTCTTTGTCATATCACATTTCTCTCGTTTTAAAGTCTCTATTGTTTCTTTACTTGTTGTCCACAAAGACTGTTGTTTTGCAAAATTTTCCTTAGTCTGAAGCAATTTGTTCTCCAAAGCCTTTATTGCTTCTGAATATGATTGTCTGACATCTTTCAGTTGTTCTTCATAATACTTTACATCTTTGTTATCTATTACATGTGTTCTTAATTCCTGCTCTAGAGCATCTATTGCTTTCATTGATATTTGCCACAGCTGGACAGCAGAATCTTTTTCTATTTGCAAGACTGCAATGCGTTCCTTCAGATTCGTGATTATTTTATCATGCAAATCCTCACTGCTACACTCTTCCAAATGTACATGTGAGATATATTCTCGCATGGCATCACTACTATTTTTATTGTCATTATATAAAGCTTGTAATTCACAACGGATGTCATTTTGCTCTGTCTATAAAGAGAAGTCCACACGTTATGTAGAGTTATTGGTACATATGATAAATAATTGTAAATACTGTACAACTGAAAAAAAGAATGTATCACACAGTAAATAGTTGTAATAACTTACCTTACAAGCTTTCAACTCTCGTTTAAGCTCTTCAACAAAATCATTATATTCTTGAAAGATAATATGATGTTCTCTACATATAAAAAATTTTTTACTTGTTGTTTTATCTAATAAAAATAACATACTCAAGACTTTCTAACCTTCTACTTACCCGTGTTTTGATGCGCTATATTCCGAGTCAAACATTCTTTGTCATACAGAGTATATAAAAAAAAAACAATAGAAGTACGTAAAAAATTTTTTATTGATACATTTACATTAATTTTTCTTTCTTCTCTTCAAATTGTCACTCCGGGGAATATTTAACTGGAAAATAAGGAATAAACTGACGTAAACGTACTTATCGACAAACCTCGTGAACATAGTTAAGTACGTAGTTATCAATGTACACCACCGTAGATAGCGCTGGCAAACAGGGCGGAAAAGCGATAACAGCTAAATTGGAGCCGTGGCTGCTCTCAGTCTTCTCTCTGGTTTCTGTTGGATCACTTAAAATTACTGTCTTTTTTCGTAAAAAAAAAAAAATACAAACATTACTTAGATAATGCAAAAAAATTATTGATTCATATTTATTGTAATCAATTTAATTAATTTAATTAATTTCGCGCTACATTTGAGGCAACAATTTGATTGGCTGCTCCGCCATTATGCGCAATGAAACATCTTGGCTGCGGTCCGCTTAATCGTGCATTTATCTGTAGTATATGTCACGTATACTATAGATAAATATGCGCTCAAGCATGAAACGGACCGCAGCCCTTATCTTCTTACATGACTGTAGTTACAATAAAATTTAAATATACAATGCATATAGTTTCTGCATTTATTGAGTAAATATTCAGTTAACAATTCGACGGTTGAGTGAAAATCGATGCCAAAATTGAATTAATACAAATTTTTCGAGATTCGAATCGAGAAGAGATTGTGAATCGATCATACCGAGACCACAAGAGATTATCTTTAATCTCCAATCTTTATTAAATCATTTAGAGATATAACTTTACATTTCTTTATGCTATAATAATTTTATTGTACAAAAAATTGTATATGGGAAGAGTGAGAATTCATTTATAAGTTTCGTTATTACGATGGTACACATAGCCACAGATATAACATTTAATAGACATTTAATGGAAGTTTGTATAGAATATTGCTTTGTGTGTTACAGAAAATTTATTTTTTGTTGCTATTTGTAAAATTGTCTCGATATCTGTTGAGAATTGAGAACTCAAGTTATGCACACCCGGTAAATGGCGTAGTTACAATAATAAAAAAGAAATTAGAAGAACAACTTTTTCAGGAAAAGCAGCCAAGAAAAAATCAAAAAGAAAATCTTCCGATCTCCCATTGATTGTGGAGCACAGCGGTAAAACTGAAGAACAAAAACAAAAAACCGAATGCGGGAATTTCTGAAAGACCTTATCTAACCGTCCGCATGATATCGGTGGCAAGTAGGGATGGGAGAAGGGGATGAAAGCGACGCCGCAAGAGGGAGAACGTCGAGATACTAGGATTCTCGCGCTCCAGTCACCGCCCAACCTTCGCCGTGTGATTTGTCGTGCGCGAAAGAAAGAACAAAAATTCATCCAAATGTACTTTAATCGTGTCGACATCGAATCGAATGCACCGTAACTATCACCGTCGATCGCAATCTGTATCGTCGTTGCGTAAATTCCGTATATTTCGCGCAATTCCCGTATGTTTCAGTGACCGTTCTTCTTCTTGTCTGTTTCGCGAGATCTCGATCGATCGATCAGTCGCGCGACAGTGGTAACCAATTTAAAGTTAACGCAAAACAAAACAGAAGACAAAGTGGTAATAGTACTGTCGCGCCGTGGAAGTGCATTCGCTGACGCAGATCCTGAAAACAACGCGTTCCTCTGGAGGCACTCAGGAGACAGTCAAGATCTATTGCTGCCCGGAGATGTCGGAAAGTCAAGGTCAGTAGCGTTGTCGCAACGCGCGTTTGTTGCGCTATCAAGCAGAGATCACGTAACGTTGCGCATATTTTTACTCTCTCTTTCTCTCTCTCTCTCTCTCTCTCTCTCTCTCTCTCTCTTTTTCTCTATTCTCTCTCTTCTCTCTCTTTCTCTGTCTGTCTTTTGCTTTTCTTTCGTTTTTTTAATCTCGCATCAAATGTATGTGCGAAGCAATTTTCCCTCAAACAAACCATATTTCGTCTACAAAACGCTGTATATATATACAAGAAAACAAAAGCTAGTAATTATTTTCAACTCAGATGTCATTTAGCAGCTCTTTTTTACTGTACAGTTTGAATGTTTCTGCTATTAATTTTTATAACAAAATCTTTACATCGAACTTACATAAAACTTTTCACGTTCCCACTTCAGTGGAAAGTTATATGATCATTATTCAGGAAGCATGTGCATATGTTAAGTCAAGTTGAATGTTCGCGGAATATTTGGACAAAACGGGAATAAACAAAACAAGAAAGTTTTGAAGAAGGTTTTTAATCAATTTAAATTAATTAATTATTGATTAATTACAAGTTAATGACAATTAATAGAAAAAATTTTTACAATATGTTTTGAAAGAAAAAACAAAATACAAAAAATACAGGAAAAAGTTTCTAACAGACATCGAATCATATTTGTGGAGTAGGATAAATCGAATTTAGTTTTTTTTTTATCTTAATCATCTGTCTTTCTCTCAAGGAAAATATATACATAATGACAGATAAAAAATACTTTTTTTTCCTCTGATAAACACATAATCAGTGTTAGGAGTAAATAAGTTAAATAGAAGTTCAAGTAGAAGTAGGTCACTAAGACAGGTCTTAATTTAAAATACTCTAGGTTTTGCATTTCCTTGAGTTTTATTCATTCAACGTCGCCGTGTATTGATATTAAAAAAATTGTGCCGCGCGCAAGACGTTCAGCTTTTACGATAATATCAAGTTTTGACGACGGATGTTTTTTAGTTGCCCGGCACTAACTTTGTTCAGGAACGAATGGTTAATAGTAACTTTAAATTATTAGCAATTGATGTTGTAGAAATTGTAACGATCAATATTACGACGTGTTTTATTAGCCTCCGCGGAATCATCATGTAATCTCCCGGTATTATGTCTCGCACAAAATGATATTATTATAATTTGCATCCTTGCAGCAGCGTGTTTGAATCTGAAAATCACAAAATTCCAGAACATTTGTCTAGTTTTTATATTACTTGAGATCTTCACTTGCTTGTTCATTAACATTTTGATATAAATAGATTTTATTATAATTATTATTTCAATAGTATTTCACAGTTCTACTTTACACACACACACACACACACATATATAATACATATGTATAATATATGTATAATATATGTATTTATTTTGCATAAATTAATTAAAAAATAAATGTATTCATTACATAATACAAAGAAGAGTGGAACGTGTTAAACTAAATAATAATCTTTTGGTAATACGTATCTCAACGAGATATGTGGACGCGTGTTAATTAATAATTGGTTTGTAGAGATGTACAAATGACATAATCGCGACTATTGATCATTTACTGCGTAAGCTAATTGAGAAATAAAGACATGCGATAAACTTGATGAAAGAGCGCGCAGCTAATGAACTTTTCAACTGTCTAAAGAATAATTTGTCATAATTATTTGCGCGAAGCAAAACGACAATGCATGCAAGAAAATGTAGTTTTTCCTTAGAAATCTATTGCGACTGCACAAAAAAAAAAAAAAAAAAGTAACACCGCGCGCACAAAACTACATTCTGTGTTTGAATGTTTTATCGGTAAGAGAAACATGCAAAAGAGGAAAGACAAAAAAAAGAATGCCGGTGGCCGTCGGCGACGTTTACAATTTTATCGCTGCAACTTCTTGATTAACACCTCTAGGTCGCGCGTTCATAACTGCAGTTCTTCCGAAAGTTCCCGTCATACTGGCAATTTTGTAGAGCTCAACTTGGTTAATGCTCGTCTTCATCTAACTTTCGAAACTATAAACTCTAATATATTCACGCGTTGTCTTTATTTTGCGTTTCTTCTGATTTTCAGCCGTTCGGTGTTGCCTTCTGGTATGTGTACACATGACAGAAAAACCAATCTCGCGGACGGATCGCATACGGCAAGGAAGAGTTAATCGAATCAACCAGTAGTAACAAGGGCAATGCTACTGTGAAGTGTCGGAGAAAGTTAGATTAACTTTGAACAGTGTCAGTCGGTGAATGTTCCTATTGTTATGTAGACTGTCAAGAGAAGTTCGAATTCCGAATATCTGAACTTAGGATTCCACGAGGCCAATGTTAGAGTTAAGAAGATAGTGTTTGAGGTAAAATAAGAGAATTTTACACAGCTACATTAAAGACACATTGTTATTAGAGAATTGAAATAAAAAGAAATAGTATATGACATGTTTGGATAGAAATTTAGACGAANAAAANAAANNAAAAAAAAAAAAAAAAAAAAAAAAAAAAAAAAAAAAAAAAANNAANAAAANNAAATCGTTTTAGTTACAATTTTATATGATATAAAAATGTGTTAATTAAAATTTACAATAAATTTCAAGAAACTTAGTTTAGAATTTACTTTAAAATTTGTGTATTATTGCAGAACGTGTGTGACAATACTTAAATTTTTAACATTGTTGGTTCAAAATTGTTCCCTATCTATGCGCGATAGAAACGACGCTACGAATACTAATTACATACGAATACTAATTTTCTGTCGCGATGCTCGCGCGTTTTCCGTGGGCGCCGACGTTTTCGAGATAAATATCATTTCCCACTGGCGGACACACGACGTGCACGCACTGGGAATCGCAGGTCACATAAATTTAAGCCTCTGTCATTTAATTACCTTCGCCTTCCGTTACACGCCTATACAATATCGCTCTCAAGAGACGCCGAATAAGGTGATATAACAAGGCGTGGAGATTCATGAAGAGCTTGGAATCATAACGAGTTTTCTCGAATAAATATTTTCTCTAATTGTTTTTCTAGCTAAATGCTTTAGATTTCGTTCTCGAAGAGAAAGCTAATTAATAAATGTGTGAAATTTAAAATCTAAAAAAAGATTGAAAAGAAAGGAATTCTGTGGATTTAAGAGATTTAAAAAAAGACGCAATTAAAAAAATCTCATTCTTTGCTTAATTTTTCAAATCGAGAGAAAGAGAAACTATATTTTACCGTGACATTTGTATTCTTTTTTTTCAAGAAGATTAAGTTTAAAAGATGTTCATAAAATTAAATAGTTAAAATAGTTTGTGCAAAAAAAATGTTGTGTTTTAAATTGATCAAAGAATATACTTGAATAAAAAAAAGCAAGTACAATACTTAAAGTGTCGTGCGCTCAAGATTTATCGCATCACTTTCAAACTATACGAATTCTTTGACGAACTCTCGAAACTTTTTCCTTTGCGACAAAAAAGAGCATAAAAAAAAAGATCATTGTTTCAATTTGATTATTGCAAACTTTTTACTTCTCGCAACATTAATTATTTCCCCGGCTATTAAACTTTAAAACTTTTATCTCTATTTTAAATTCATTAAGATAAGAATCGATTGAAGGACAATATTCTTGTTATTTATTCTCATGAAAATGTAGGAGAGCTCTTTCAACGTTTCATCACTTTTAATTGGTGTATCTTTGTAAAAAATAATGAGTGAATTTTATTGGAAATATTAATAAAGTATAAGAGCGCTCATATGTACAGCAACGATAAAAGTTTCGATAACGTATATAGAGTGATGTATACGGATCTCCGGAGAATTCGATGTGTTTCTAAATGATTACGTTTCTTTCGGAAAATATAGCAATTCTCGATGTGCTATGAAGTGAGACATATCGATCTCCGCGAGAAATTTAGTTTTGTCAGTACGTACAAAAGATACATATGTCTCTTTGTATAGTCAGTACGTACAAGAGATACATATGTCTCCCTATATTTTTGCGTCGCGAATCGTTTTCTTGTAACTCCTACATGCGCGCTTTAAATTTCACAAGACAGCTCAGTCTCGCGGAAGATGTGTGAGAATTCCGGGCACGAACGCGGAAGTAAAATCGGAAGCTACCAAAATAAGTAATGGAAATGGCAAAGCCTTGATTTATTGAAAACTCGCTCTCAAGATAATCGGTAGCGGAATTGCGCATACGTTGATTCGTTTATTTGCATGCGCACGTCAATCTTGCTGAGATATACGTTTCATCGATTTCAACATGTTTGCGCGAATCCAAAGAGATCTATGTATGGGCGTTTCCGGTAAAAGTGTTTTCATTTAAAGATTTTTTCTCCTTTGAAACTCCGCACGTGTACACCGCGTGACTGGGATGTTTGAATTTAATACGCAATACCAACTTATTTTTATCCATTTTTGTATGGATATGTACTGTATCCATCCGATATTAAATCAATTCCCGAATAAATCCTTAGTATCCTGCTAAAGAATAAAATAAAAGAGAAATTTACATAGAAAAAACAATTTTTATAGATAATTTCATCTTAGGAATAAAAAAGATTAGCACAAAAACAAAATTTTTGGAAAAAAACTTTTCTGAAATCTAGTTTCGCGTGTATCTATTTAATTGATGTCAAGAGGACTTTATTAATAGTAAAATAGACGACATTAACAATTGTCCCGAAGCTGTGACGCAAATTTTTATATACATAGTTCTCTAGAAGAGAAATTGGCTTTCTTTTTTTGTGAAAAAGAGTAAAGAAAGAAAAAATTATGTACTTTGCAATCTCATTAAAAATAACTGCTATAGCTAAATTACAGAGAACGACATTCTTCGTAATGGAACGCAAACTTTTCAAAAGACTGAGAAAATTAAAAGTGTACCGACGAAAATGAGTAAGATATGACTTCACACTTACACTAGAAAACAAAAAGAAAAAAAAAACACTATAATATATTTAATTAAAAATGCGTCAAATAACACAAATATGTGTTAAAATTAGAACATGTTAA